GCTGCAGATTCCACGAAGATGCACGTCTGGTTGGTGGGGATGTCCCTGTGTCGTCGGAGGACGTGACCAACGGAGGTTCCATCAGTGCTTGAGGATCAAACGATGCAGCGGGTTTGTCGTGCATCAACGGTAAAAAGCTTCGGCAGATATTTGCGTTGGGCACCGGATTCCAATAAGAGAGCACAGTTGGCGGCGGTGACACTGATCAAGGGACTTCGTTTCGGTCTGTGTGAGTGCCCATGTTCCACAATTGTCGAGTCGGATGCGTTTGACGTGTAGCTGCTATCCAGACGAACGCGCGACGGTGCTTTGTTGTCGACGTAACCAAAGTGTCCATGTATATCTGAAGCTGGCTTGGCCAAGTGTCTTTCGTTTTTGAATGTCGTTGGCGTCGTTCAAGAGGTTTCCAAGTTTACGGGTGGTCTGTCTTGTGTAGTTTGGAGGCGACTGTTTTGGCGGCTTTGTGAGGTCGTAATGTCTGTTCTTCCGGGTTCATTGCGTGAGCCCATTGTGCCAAGGGGTAGAGGCGAACAGCGTCAATGACATGTCGTAGACGGCTTCTTGCGTGGAGGAAAAGATGTCGATGGAGCCGGGTCTAGCTCGGGTGACTGTGGCTCGAAGAGCAGTCGTGCACGCAGAAAGTGAATTGCTCACGGATATCGTTGTCATTTCATCTTTGTGTAAGAGCGAGGTGGGGAATGAAACACTTTTCGTGTTTGGCTTCATGTGCTTGGGAAACAGAATGTTTCGTATACTGTATAGCAAAGTCTGCAGGGACTACGTTGCGGTCGGCCTTCACTCGAAACTCTCCCCAGTTTTGTGCGTCAAGGCATGTATCCGACAGTGCTTTGCGGCAAATGACATAATCGATCTGGTTGCAAACACAGTGGTCATTACGGCGGGATGTCCACGTGTTGGTGTTGTGCGCGCATTTTATTTTACCTTCGTGTTGTCGGCGAAGCACTCGTTGGTGGAGCAGAAGTCAGCAAGGACATCACCATTTGAGTTTCGGTGGCCGCGGCCATTTTGGCCCATGTACGGGAGCGTGCTGTGAGGTTTGCCGAGTTTAGCATGATAGTCCCCACAGACGATATTGACGTCTGGTTTGGGCAGTGCTGCTGTCCGCTGCAGTGGAGCTCATCATAGAAATTTTGTCTCTGGTCGACGGGGTAGTTCATGTGAGGGCTGCAACCACATATAAATTGTACTGACTGCGTTAAGTGTAGGTGTTGTCTAAGGGTCAGTATGGCGATGCGAGGGCTTGGTCCATGGACGCTCTCGATGAGGGGAGAGAACAATTCTCGACTTCATCTCGCAGCAGGTTTCGTCCGGGCAATCACACCAACTGGAATCGGAAACATGTTGTGCACTCTGGTTTTCTTGGGCTCGAATACAATGCGACTCCTCGCTCCTCCGACTTCCTATGTGCTTGGGCCCGCTTGTGACAACTATGTTGTTTGAGATGTATTTCACTTGGATGTCCTCGATAAGGGGAGTCTTCGGTTGCCCAATCCTGCGTGCACGATGTAAGAAGAGTCGCAAGAGATGTGGTGCTCCTCGACAATGCGCCTTTCATATTTGCATGCAACACCTTGAGCGTTGCTAGCGAGATGTTGTCGGTGCCAAGAAGATAGCACGGAACAGCGACGTTGCAATCGTTGCATATCGCGTGATTGCCTGGGACGCCGAAACTCGCGGACGGGCGAGGAGCCACGCCTTACTTCCAGTCGGCAGGCTGGAGGCAGCCACAGCTGGAGCGCTGCGGCGTGGGTGCGAGTTGCGCAGGTACGACGGACGTATGTGCACATTTGAGGTTCTTTCGTGAAAAAACCGCCGCATGGCGTCATACAGTATAGAGTTTGAGGTGTTTGTTTCGTGAAATGTTCCGAACGGGGGTGATGGCATGTACGTACTTAGTAGGGGGTGAACTACTAGTTTCTTGCCTGGAATTGTGATAATTATATGGCAATTTGTATATTGATGGTACTTCGATAAAACTCCACCAAACGTCGTGTTTTTAAAAGCTGTGTTAAGCGACCGCAAAACGAATGTAGGAGTCATGTGCTGCACTGCTTTGTCGTGACATGTATCTTTTATAGCGATAAAACCTACACTCTTCAGCTGAACTCTCTAGTTTCGTCGTCGTCTGTCGTCAATCGCGCGGGGCATTCGCGCCTGGCATCCGCGTGCATTTCAAAAGAAGATGGGGTGCAGTGGATACGGAGGGCTTGCAATTGCGCTGAACTTCCTCGCGTTGGCGTCTGCGCTGACTGCGCTCCTGTCATCCAAGTGGGTGACCAATTCAGCCGTGGATGTGTCGTACAATGGCGTTGTGAAAGGCGCTGACACGGGATTTGGTGTGATGCTCATGTGCCTCGACGTCAAGTGGGACAACACGGCGACGTTGGTCAAAGGCACGAACACCGCGTCCAACTACAACATCAATGACTGCTACGGATACTTTGTCCCCCTCGAGCGCACGATTGCGCGTTTTGACGGCCAGCTCAAATTCGACAAGTACATGACAAGCATTTGCGACCACTACGCTGTCGACAACGACCGCGCCGCGGGCGCACTTGGCACCATGTCGGGCCTGCGAAAGGACGCCATGAAAAACTTTTTGGACAAGACGTGTTCGAGCACAGGCAAGGCAGTGCTAGCGATGACGTTGGGCAGTCCGTTATGCCTGTTCTTGTCGTTTATCATGCTCGTCTTTGGCGTGTGCTGCTGCGACAACCGTAGTTGCATGGTCCAAATGACTCGGTTTCTCACGATCTTGTCGGCAATCTTCTCGGTCGTGCTGTCGTTCTTGGTCTTCAGCCAGTTCACCCAGTTGCGGTATGCTGACGCTACGTACGGCTTCTCGTTGTACTTGGAGATCGCGGCTTTCGTGCTTACGATCCTCCTGTCATGGGCTATTGAGCAGCACATTTTGGGCGGCGGAAAGGGTACAAGGCACGACCGCATTTGAATTGAATCTTACAAAATATGTCACTTTGAGTAAACTCGACAGTCCGCTACATGGGTCGCGAATACACGGGACTAAAGTCGAGAGTTCTGCCGCTTTGAACAATACTGACGATGTCGTGCATCTCTCCTAACCCGAAAGCTCTCGCAGCGGTGTTTGCGATGCGGCCTCAGCACCGTCAACGTCAAAAGCTTCAATTGAACGCCACCGTGAGTTGCATGAGCCTGTTGGCGTTCTGCGTGTTACTGTTGTGTTGCTGCTGCTGCACATGTAATCTGTACACGTCGTCATTCGCAAGGACGACTGAGTCGCATGCAGAGGATCATCCCAGTCCAACGGGTGGCGACCCCTTGTTGATTTGCAGTGGCCTTTCAAGACTGTCAAAGCCATGCGGTCACAATATGAATTTACACACGCTTGGAGCGCTACACAATGTCTGCGCGGTGCACGCTCGTCTTGGAGATGAGATTTTGCTCTCGGATCTTGGCTTCCAGTCGCTTGTCCGTGTCGTCAGCGTTTCGCCGCTTCTTGACACTGCCCTCGAACCGTTCGATGACACACACGGCAAAACACGCGACGAAAAACGAGGCGAATTCCAAGTACAGAGGTGCGCCGTACGCAACGTGCGACGAGCTTGCTTTCGCCTTGCGCAACGGCCCAAACACGAGAAACGACATGATGGCACTGCACACGATCCCAATGTTCACCATGTAACGTGCGAAGAGCGGTAGTGACGCACGCGAGGTGCAGCAGCATGCGCTCACGATCAACAGGATTAGCGCAAAAAGATTGAGCGTATTCGCAGCGAGCACCAAGGCTGCAACGGCTTTTCCGGTGCGGCTGCACGACGCTTCCAGGAAGTCGTTCATGGACGACGACGACATGCCAGTCATGATGGCCAGGGCCTTGGACGCTCGAACGTTGTTTGTATGAAAGTGGTCGCAGATGCTTGTGGCGTACGCGTCGCGCTTGATGACCGTGTCAATGCGCACAATTTCGTTTTCGATGGGCCAGAAGTACGAATAGCACGTGCGCATGCTGAAATCTGCCACCGACTCCATGCCGGGAATAAGTACCTTCGCGTTGTCAAAGTCAACGTCCGCGCAGAGCCCCCACAAGCCCAAATCACCTTGGACACGCTTGACCCTGCCATCCCATTCGGAATCCACGACGGCATTCGACACCCACGATGGCAAGGCCAGGGCCAGGAGGCCCAACGAGACAACGAGCACCATCGCGACGATGGCGGCCAGCCCTTTCCGCATCGACCCCATTGCTACTCTGGGTCTCCGCAGAGACAAAGGATTCGCGATGTGACCACACTGTGAATTGCCGTCGTGATGTGTGTGCCATGCCGCCGGCATTGTGTCGTCCGGATAAAGTGTCGGTGCGGCGAGAATAAAATTGCAGCTCGACCACGAGAGTTTCACTTGATATCACTATACATCGTCGTCAAATCGTAAAAAGATCGGCGCGGGCTGGTTTTGCTTGTTTGAACTTGGTGACATGAAAACTTCGAATTTTACCCAATGAAAACGCACGAATTCGACGTGATTTCGATAGTTTGGACGACAAGAGATCAATGCCATCCTGGGCGCAATCCACTTGATCAGGGGACAAATGTACTCGTCGCCACAGAATTCACAACGAGGGTATCGCTGACGTGCTGGCAGTGGAATGAGAAGCAATCGAGTTGCGAAAGTTATGAAGTCGCGATGGAGGCCATGACGCTGACGCGCTCGAGTTGTATGCAAAAAGACACGTTTCGTCAAAGAAATCACTGCCAATGGGGAACTTGGCGCTCAGGGGGATGCGTGAGGGTAATTGAAGAGAAATCCAACCGCTTGAGGCCGTAGCTCGTCGCAGCTGGAGCGTGTCCAGCATGTTCTCGTTGCACAAAACGGCACAACCGGCGACAAATGCGTTGTCGTCGGCCGATGCGTCGCTGAGTTGTAAGTTCTACGAAATTCGATTTTTAGCCGGTTGTTGAACTGCAATTCACTTCGACATTCGATCGTCCGCCCGGCGACTCCAGGGCATTTCTTGAAATTCCAGGTCGACCAAGGCGTACCACGATGGTGTCTGGATGGGGTGTGTCCGGGATCATTACGATCCTCATTGCTGTAGGGCTTGGCTTTGTCTGCGTGATCACTCCTATGTGGTTCACGAATGTCGGGGTCGCGCAACACCACGACGCGATCATTCAGAGCGCTGAAACGAGCGTCGGGTTGATCGGGATGTGCTTTGACGCGAAATTCAAGGGTGAAAACAACGACCAGTACAACGTCAAGGACTGCTACCCGTTCTTTGGTGGCGCGGGTGGGTCGTACCGCTACATCGGGCACACGAGCAAGCCGTCGTTCCAAGAACACAAGTCGGACCTCGCAATCTGCGCTTACTACTTTGCGAACCAAGAAGGAAACAATGCCGCCAAGGAGATCTCCATCATGACGGGTATGGCGTGGGTCGATGTTGACTTCTTCCTCCAGTCCACGTGCGGCTCCCTTGGCAAAGCGTCGATCGCTATGTCGATCCTGTTCGTTGCGTTGACGTTCCTGACCCTCGTCGCGCTCATTTGTGTCGTGCTTTGCTGCAAACAGCAATTGTGGCTCGTCACGTTCTCCCGCGTCTCATCCACTCTGGCTGCCATTTGCTCAGGTGTGCTCACGTTTTGCTTGATGTCCCAAGCGAAGGGCATCAAGTCTGGCGGCGACGGCGTTGATATGCGCTACGGTTTCTGCTTCTACTTTGAGTGGGTTGGCCTCTTCTTCGTGCTTGTCGGCTCGTGGTGCATTGAAAAGCACGCGTTGTCGCAGAAGACAAAGAAAGTTGACCTCATATAATCGACCATTCTCGACCTGTAGTACTTACTACTAATCTACAAGGACCATAGTACTACTACCACGGAGTTGGGTATAGATAAATGAGATATCATTTATCATATTTATTCACAATGACACGTGAATTCCAGAACGAAAATAGGTCTTGAGCGAGAAAACGGCCATATCGATGGGAAACATGGGAGGAGTCGTCGCGGGCGGCAACGGTGCAGTGGCAAGGAGGTCGATGGGAGGCAATCAACCGCCACTTCTGTACGGAGATCCAGCTACGGGTTCCAATGTTGCTCCAAACCAGTACACACATGCGCAAATGCAGGCGCTGTACATGAATCGCGGTCGCGCCGACATGGGATTCATCCAAGACCATATCAACAGCGTGCTCCAAGCTGCCCCCGAGATGCAAGAAACAACCACTGTGCGCAATGAGGTCAATCTGAAGAAACAATCGCTGAAGCTCGTGGCACTCGACTCGGCAACGGCGCGACTCGAGTTTGTCTTTGACGCAGGCAAGCCGTGCACAGTGACGCTGTTCTTGGACGCAATTGAAACGATCGACGACGAAGGCAATTCCACGGTCACGAGCCAGAAACCTGCGAACGGTTCGATGAAAGACTGGGGTGGACAAGTGTTTCCGGCTGGATTGGGGCAATCCTTTGCGTCCGTGCCACTGTCGTTGGCCGACTGGACACCGTCCCAGCTTATCTACGACGGGAAGAGCAGCACGTTCCCCCTCGTCGTGGAGATCACGGTGGTTGCGGATGCCTCAGTCGCGTCAAGGACGCAAAAGCAAGCAACATTTATCATGTTCCCACCTGCCACGGGTTCGAGCCCTCCCTTGCGAAAGGTGCAAGTGATCAAGCAGAAAGTGGAAGTCCTGGGCCAGACTTACGAGCTACAGGAAATATACGGCATGGAAGGCGCGGCATGTTGTACGACCACAACAAACGACACCATGGGCAATGCCACCGCGCCTGCCTTGTCGACTTCAGCTGTAGAAACCGACGTCATCGACGGCGCCGAGTGCATCATTTGCATGTGCGAGCCTCGCAACACCACCATCCTACCCTGCCGGTACACATTCTCGATAGCATTTACAATATCTCATCCGCTCATGGCCAGACACATGTGCATTTGCTTGGAGTGTTCGGAAGCGCTCAAGCGACCTGGCAGTACGTGTCCCATCTGTCGGGGTAAAGTCGAGTCCATGCTGCAGATCCGTGTCAACAACTCTGGTCCAGCCGCGGTTGCCGTGAAGTGACCAAACGGGTGACTCTGTCGTGGGGGTAAATTGGACTAAGAAAAGGGGCTATCTATTGCATGGGACGTCATGCTTGGTACATGCGCTCCTACGAGAACAAGCGTGAGCGCCATCCGTGTCCATGGAAACCATTACCACTCGATCGACTGCGATGGGCGGCCTCATGGCTCCCATCTCAGCGTAATACCTTGACGGTGGCACGGAGTTGGAGGCCGGTTTTGGCGGCGTTGTATTGACAGGGGTGTCGGTGAAATTAAAGTGGCGACTTCGTTGCGACGAGGACGTCTTGACGGTGGCGCGTGTCGAGTCGACCTCGGACACCGTTCGCACGTTGTCGTTGTTGTTTGCTTGGATGCGACTGTTGTCGCGGTTTGGAGAACTCGTTCGGCTACTGCAGGCCGTGCAGCTGGGGCTGTGCTGCTGGGTCGGACTGTCGCACGGACTCGAGTTGTTTGGCGAGAACGTCGACAGCGTGCGGGACAGCATCTCGACCCTATCAAGCCAAACATGACGCGTGGTGTCCTGTGGACGTCGCATACATTTGTTCTCGTCGCTTCAGGTCGAGCTCGCGCTTGGCTAGTTCTGTCTCGCGCTCTAGATACAACCCGTCGTCACGGGATGACCACATTCGCGAACGAAGCGTACCGTGGATTTGTGTCTCGCGCACCAGCAGCAACGCTTCTTGTTTTTGCAAATCCTCTTGAATCGAAAACAGCTCTTTCATCTTGGCAGCATATCTACGACCAATGTCACTCGCGCCTGGTCGCGGAATTGCGGCCACGCACGTGTTTTGCAATTGGACTTCAACCGACGACATGTTGTACTCTCGAAGCCGCCGGGCGAGGAGCGGCACGCGCTCCAAGTCTTCAATCCGTGGCCGTCTGGATCTCTACGGGGGCGCACACAAAACGTGTGATCCTCGGCACGAATACCTAGCCATACTTGGCGATGCAGCATCCATCGAATCGCTTGGAACAAGTCTTCGGAATACATGTCGGGAATTCTTGAAAACTTGCCCGCGTTGATCTTTTTGGCCAGCGCCAGTTGATTTGTCGCGTCAAATGGAGGGCTGTCGACGCATGAGCGAGACAAAAAATTGGCACAAGATGGACGTACACGAGCGCAGCCAGTTCGTAAATCAAGCACCCCAGCGCCCAAATGTCGGACCGTTCGTCGTAAGTCATGTCGTTCACCATTTCCTACACACACGATGACGACGACCGACGAGGTGATGAGACGCACAGGGCTCATGTAGTACGGAGTGCCAACGTTAGTGTGTGCAAACTTGGACTCGCTGCTAAGTTCCTTGGCGAGGCCAAAATCGCCTAGCTTGGCGTTGCCCTGGTGGACGGTGAACCATCAACACGAACGAAGTGGGCGACGATACCTCGGCGTCGAGGAAAACGTTGCCCGGTTTGATGTCGCGGTGCAGAATTGGTTTCACCAAGTTGCTTTCTTTGTGTCGATGGCACTCTTTCAGCGCAAGGTACATGTGTGTGAGGACTTTCCAAATGAACGCTTCGTCGACGAACGTTCTACCATAGTACCACACATTACGACATGTAAATGGGGCATATGCCTGTACCCGTCTCTTCGGTGGCGCTTGATGAGACGACTAAGGTCGCCTCCTTCGCAGTACTCCATGACGATGAAAATTTTCGTCGACTGCTTGTCGATGACCCGGTCGAGATACCGCACAACGTGTGGGTGTTTCAGTTCCCGCAGGATGTTGACTTCGCTCACGATGAGCTGCTTCTGCTTTTCGTCCATGTGCCCATAGTCGACTTCTTTCCACACGAGTTCCTGCAATTATAAGGGCATGAGTTGACTGGTCGCGCTGATCATGTCGGGCCCGTCGTGAGCGCGGAACATACCTTGTTGTCTGCTTTCCTCACGATCTTGCTCACGATCCCAAACGAGCCTTTGCCGATCACTCGTACATGCTCGTACTGGTCCATGCTTCTCCTCGATCGTTGAGAGCCCGAACGCGTCCGTGGTGTCGTCCCCGACGGTGCGAGAAATCTTGTCCCGGGCTGGATGAGACCACCGCGGTATGGGGTTCACTATGGAATCGAAAACAACTTGAGTTCACTATACCTTGAATAATGGATTTGGTTGGCGGGATTGGGTCGGCGCAAATTGATTGGTCAAATTCAATCGAACTATTGCTTTTTATCCAATCCGCGATCCGTCTTCGAATGGTTTAGCCAATCAGGGTCCAGGAGCCAAAATACAGAAGTCGTACACATTGCACATACACAATACATGTAGCAAGCATCTCGTCCGTGACGTGCCACGGTCGACGCAGCGATGGATCGATGCTTGCGCTCTTGGTCATGCAACACTTCACTCGAGCCCACGAGTAGTAAATGGATGAACGTTATCGCTCCGTGGATGACATAAACGGCGACGGTGGCAATTGCTTGATCGTGCCGTAGTACCGCAGCGCTGCAGGCGGCGAATTCGCAGTGGGGATCAGCGGCGACAGGTCTCTCTGTTCCTGCACCCACTCGGCGTACAACGCGTTCATTGCAGCAGTGAGTTCGGCCTCTTCGTTGTGCCATGCTTTGTCTGGGTCTTGTTGGTCGACATCGATGATGGGCGCTCGCAGGTACCGTTTTGGTTTGGCATCGTCCTTGTCGTGCTTGTAATCGCGAAGCTGCTGGCTTCGGCTTTGTTCGACGTATCGGCGTTCTGCCATAGCGAGCATCTTCTGCTGCTTTGGAGTTTGTACCCCCGCCAACGCCGCGAGGAGCTCGGGCGGCCGTCGCAACAGCGTGCACGTCGAGTCGGAGATTGTAAACAAGTCCTTCTGCCGCCGAATCATCTCTTCCCTGTATTCCTAGCCATGCGAATCCATTGTATTCGTTGCTTTGGTAGAGATGTATCCTCACCTTCTTCTGCTGCTCAAACATCAGCTTGTCATGCATGTGGGCCTTCATCAAGTGCATGTCTTGGATCTTGGTCAGCTTGACACGCTACCGCGTAAACCAAAAACGAGTGCTCCACGGCTGAGAGGGTCGTCCCACGAACCGCATTGAAGTCTTCCATCTCCGACCGCGATCGTTGATCGTCTTGCTTTCGCCAATTCACAAGTGCTACTCTCTCCTGTAGGCCGAGCTGCCGCTTCTCCTTGATTTCTACGCACGTTTGGCGTCACTACTTTCGCGATGCGCATGCGAGCTGCGCCATGGTGTACCGCCGATCTGAATGTGGCGTGCCACCATGCCAACGCTACACGAGAAGTTTCGTGCGTGTGCCTGGCGCGCTTCCACCTTTTTCCTACAGCTAGCCACGTTAGGCATGACAGTGTGGCATACGCACCGATGCTCCGACGCCAAGTGGCGCTGGGCCTTGACCTTGACGGCTTTTTTTGCAGTGTCGCCCGCCGCCTGTTGAAAGGGACGTAGTGCCATGACTGTTGAACGACACGATGACCCTCACTTGTTCATGCAAGTCCTGTTCGCTGACCACGCGGCGAATACACCGATACGGGGTGTCCATGACTAGGCTATGGGAATGGGACAGCGTCGTCGCGTCCTGCAGGCGCTGCGCCTGCATCTACTCCAACGTTCCATGTGATTTTGTAGACAAGGAACCGAGGAGGTGTTTGCGTACTGGGTCAGTCTCGACGTGGTCTGCGTACGAAAATTCCATCGCGTGTTTGTGCTGGTCCTTCATGGCGTCGAATGGATGAAGACGAGAGTCTGTGGCCGTCGACACAGTCGAGAGGCTCGTCGTCGGCGACATGTCGTGCCGTGACGTGGTACCATCCATCCACTTTGCAGCCAGAGACGGCCCCACAAGGGTGAAACAAGCGTCGACAAAATCGAGAAACGTGATGTGTCCGTCGCGGGGGCGTTGCAGCCACGCGTCAAGCTTGGCAGCAGCGCCTTCATCGTGTGGGTCGAGCAGACGATGGCGTTCCAACATGGGTCTGAGCTGGTTCAGCTCCATGTACCCTTGGCCGTCGAATGGTCCAAACAGCGCTCGACACGCGCGCACGTACGTGCTAGTGTACTTTGTGGCAACCCGCTGTTTCGGAGTGGTCCCAACGCGTCCTCGAGGAAGCGCAACGCGCTGCAAGATGCGGGCCGACTCTTGTTGTCCGAGCATTTTACCGATTGTTTTTACTACTGCCGTGCCTCCCAAGTCAATTTGGGCTCTGGCCTGGCACAGCATGTTGGCTTGGTTTTCGGGATCCATCGAGAGCAAATTGCGTGGCCGCGCCGTCAGCCAGGTTTCATTTCTATTTATGGACCAGCGTCGTCGCCCACCCATGTGGACGCGAACAAGATTCCTCATCCAAGCCCGTGCGCTTTGACGTGAGAACACGACGACGTGGCGTGGGCAGCAAGCGCATGATGTCGTGGAGGCTGACGTGCTCGAAGCCACTACGACAGGCTCACAAACTCACGCGACACGATAGCGTCTTTGTCGAGTTGACGATGGGGCCTCTGCGGCAACGACCCTCGGAACACACGTCCATGCCGACCAAGCGAGAACACTTTGACACTAGGAGAGAGGCAAGCAAGCTATTTGTAACTAGGAGAGAGATGTGTCCCCACTTGTCGCTGGTAGCAGGCCCCCTGCGGCAGCGCTTCCGGCATGTGTGTGGGCTGCGCATGTTCGTCCAATATCCGACTCGACCGTCGGGAAGTTTATGCGACGCAATTGGATTGGTGGAAACTCGGCCACGAGGGGAATAAAAAGAACAGTTGGCGACATGGATACAAACATCAAGTGGCGATTTCGATTTTGGTATTAAATTGCGTCGCCACCACCACCCCGTCGACGTCAGATACGAAATTCTCGGTCGACGCAACCACGACGACAGACGAGAGGCCGCCGAAGAAACGACGAACTGCCATGGAGACCCTTGAAGGAGATGCAGGATTTATGGACAAGTACAGTCGCCAAATTGGCGCGTTTGGGCTGGAAACCATGGCCAAGCTCGTCAAGTTGAAGGTCTTGATTGTTGGCATGCGTGGGGTTGGCATCGAATGTGCCAAGAACTTGATCTTGGCTGGACCTGGCGCCATCACCATTCATGATGGTACGATATACAGACTTTGTCAAAGCCGTCTCATGCGTGGTCTAGATGGGCTGACGGAGATCGAAGACGTGGGGGTCAACTTCTTCTTGACCGAGGCCGACGTTGGCACCCCTCGTGGGCCTGCCGTGTTGCATCGCGTACGTTGTGTCCTTCTTTGCTGCTCGACTCGATATCAACGTCTCACGCGAGTGCGACGTGTAGGTGGCCGAGTTGAACAAGACCGTGACAGTCAAGGCCCACACGGGACCGTTGACAGAGGATATCGTGCGCAAGCACAATGTCGTTGTGTTCACGCACACGCCACGCGACGAGTTGATCCGATGGGATGCATTTTGCCGCAAACAGTCCCCTGCAATTGGGTTCATCAACTGCGACATTCGAGGTTGCGCCGTCACACGGCCATGTATCATCGTCTTGACGCAGCGCCATCTCTTTAGGCGCGTTTGGGTATGCGTTCACCGACTTTGGTCCTGCGTTCTTGACCCACGATGCGACGGGCGAGAACCCCATCACACGTATCATCACAGACATTACGAACGACGACGACGGGCTTGTGTCGTTGCTCGGGCCCGACGACGACGGCAAGATGCACGAGTTGCCCGACTCGGACCACGATGGATGGATTGAGATTAGGTAGGATTGTCTGGTGTGGTTGCCATGGCTCATGGGGTGTGCTTGTCGTGTGCAGTGAAGTGGACGGCATGGTCAACCTGGACGACCCGACCCAGACCATCAACACGATGGGTCCCTACCGCATCAAGTTTGCGTCGAAAAAAGTGTTTCGAAATGGCAAGCAAGTCGAAGTGTTTGATCCGTATCACTTGAAGCTTGTCGGCGGCACCGCGCGGTTCTCGCCGTACCTTGGTGGCGGCATGTTTACGCAGAGCAAGCAGCCCTTTACGACGCATTTTCGATCGTTCCAGGAGACGCTGGTACGGTCCGCTGCCATCTTTTGCACGAAGGACGGGTCGTGGAATCGTCGTTGTAGGTGTCGCCCGTCCATCCGGGCGATTTTGGCCTCATGTTTACCGACGGCGCTAAATTTGGTGGGTGACGTCGGACGATGACGCTCATGGTGGGTGGAATTTGCCAGGTCGCGCGGAACAATTGCACTTGCTCGTGTGGGGCCTCATGGAATTCGAAGCAACGCACGGGCACTTGCCTCGTCTGTACAACGACGAGGACGCTGACGAAGTGGTAAGGCTGGCGCGTAATCTGCTTGCGTGGTCGGTCAAGAAAGAGGTTCATTTAGATTGCGCTCGCCAAAGCTGGTCCGCCCGCCCTTCCCGGCGTCGAGGTCGAGCCACTTCGCGTCGACGAAGTGGACGAGACGCTCCTCCGACAACTGACCCACGTCGCGCGCATCGAGTTGCATCCCGTCGCGGCCTTTTACGGCGGTGTGATTGCGCAGGAAGTGGTCAAGTTTACGGGCAAGTTTACGCCGTTGAAGCAGTGGATGCACTTGGATTTCGCCGAAGTCCTCCCGGACAAGCGACCGACCGACTGGGCGCGTCAAAACTCGCGCTACGACCACATGATTCAAGTGTTTGGCGCGGCGTTTCACGACCAACTCGGTGCGCGACCATGCACGTTGATTTGGCTCATGTTTTGTGCTAGCCAACGTGCGAACGTTCTTGGTCGGGTGCGGCGCGCTCGGGTGCGAATACCTCAAGAACTTTGCCATGGTTGGCGTCGGGTGTGGTCCCAACGGACTCATCACGGTCACTGACAACGATCGCATCGAAGTGAGCAACCTGAACCGTCAGTTTTTGTTTCGAGAACACAACGTGGGCCAGCCGAAATCGGTGGCCGCGACCGCCGCCGTCCGCCACATGAACGCGTCGCTGAACGTGCTGACGCTGGAGCACTTGGTCGCCCCGACGACGGAGCACGTGTTTGACGACGCGTTCTGGAACGATCTGGACTTTGTCACGAACGCCCTCGACAACATCAAGGCCCGGCTGTACGTTGACTCGAAGTGCGTGTTTTACAAGAAGCCGCTGCTCGAGAGCGGCACCCTCGGCACGAAATGCAACGTCCAGGTGCGCGCAATACGGCGTCGACATGGTTTGATCGTGGGGTAGGTCGTGCTGCCGTACAAGACGGCGAGTTATGCTGACGGGCCAAAGGACGCTCCTGACGACAACATCCCCATGTGCACGTTGCGCAACTTTCCGTCGCTGATTGAACACTGCATCGAGTGGGCCCGCGCCCAATTTGAAGACGTGTTTGTCGTACCGTTTGCCGACGCGGCCAAGTTTGCCGCGGATCCGTCGACGTACGTGCAAACGGTGCGCCTCGCGACGGTGGACCACGTGAATCCCAAGATCGGTGCGTCGGCTGTCTCGAGCGAGCTCGAACGGTACGCCGTCGATGGTGCTGTCCCCCGTGCTCACTCGTGTGTGTGTGTGGTAGCGTTCGCGCATTGCATCGGCTCGTTACCAAGCCGCAAGTGGACTTTGACGTGTGCATGGGGCTTGCCCAGGACCTGTTCACGTCGCTCTTTCGCGATCGCATCCTCCAACTGATCCACAATTTCCCGGAACACCACCAGACCAAGTCGGGCGAGAAGTTTTGGACTGGCGCGAAGCGATTCCCCCAGGCCGCGACCGACATGGACTTTTCAAACACGTACCACGTCGACTTTGTTCGGTCGGCGGCCAACCTGTTTGCCGTCAACTTTGGCTTGCAGCCGTTGCCGGAAGACGACGTCGTGCTATTGTCGTCGTCATTGCGCCAAGTCGAGACGTTTGCTGCGTACGTAGAGTCGCATCCGATGCCAGAGTGGCATCCGTCGAGTGAAGCAATCGCGGAAAACGACGAGGCACTCAAGAAGCAGCAGCAAGAGCGCGCGACCACTTCGACCGACGTCCACGAGCTCGAGCGGCTCCTGGACGAGCTCGGGTCGCTCTCGTCCAGCCAGGTCGCGACTGCGCAGCGCTACGTGCCGGCGGACTTTGAAAAGGACAACGATTTGAACTTCCACATTGACTTTATCGCGGCCGCGGCCAACATCCGCGCATGGAACTACCGCATCAAGCAAGTGTCGCGGCACAAATGTAAGATGATTGCGGGCAAGATCATCCCTGCGATCGCGACGACGACGGCCAGCGTCACGGGGCTCGCCATGATTGAACTGCTCAAGATCGTCCAGGGCAAGAAGCTCGACCAGTTTAAAGACTCGTCCAACTCGCTCGGCCTCAACATGTACTTGCTCCAAGAACCCGCCGAGCCCGAGAAGGCCAAGGACGAGTACGACATGATTGAAATGTCCGAGGTCAAGTGCAAGCCGCCGGGATTCACCAAGTGGGACACGACGCTTGTCACGGTGCGAGGCGCCACCCGTGGGGCGACGATTGATGGCGCGTTTGCTGTGATGTAGGTGGCACCACGCGTAACGCTGTCCGAGTTTCTCGATCAACTGCAGGACCAAGTGGGGCTGCATGTAAACTTGCTTTTCCATCCCATCGCCGAAGTGGACGGTGACCAGTACAGCGCGGTCCGCGGACTCATGCTATACGATCGCACGGCCTTTAGCGCGGCATTGAAGGCTCTGTACAAGGAAAAGCTATCGGTGCCGCTTCGGCAATGGGTCGAGGAGCGCTACCACGGCCTCGTCGACTGCGACCGTCCGTTTGTCGAGTTTCAAACGTCGTGCTCGGACGATGACGACGTTGTGTACAAAATTCCAACGGTCGTGTGTCGTTTCATCAAATAGATCATGTTTTTTTTTTTCAATCGAAGCGCGGCGCCTCGGCCAGTTTGTCGAGTCGCATTGATATCACTTGCGCCATGCGTTGGGGCGAGCTTGACGTGAATGAACCCGTCTGTCTTGTGGAGAGAGCTTGTCGCTTACGGCGGCAAGTCGGGGCAGAACGTCACGACGAAATCCGACGTGTCTGGGCAGCTCTTGGTCTTGGTGTCGTCCGACGGGTACTGATATGCGTCACGGCACCCGTTCGCGTAGCACACGACGTACGCGCAGTTGTACCGAGGGTCGTTGCGGGCCGGGCCTTTGGGAAAGATGCTCATGGGCACATTGAATCCGACTTTGGACGTCATGCGCATGCACTCGACGAGGCTTGTGCATGTTCCCGACTGCATGGAGAAAGATCATGACGATTCCAGAAGGTGGTGGGAGGTGCACGTACTCCAGGCGGCACGGTGCTGATGTCGTACCAGACCTTGCCCCCTGCCACGGAGAACTCGGCGACTGCGGCCCACGAAGCGAGTGAGGATGTTGGCGAAGACGGAGGACGGGCTTACGTGTAGCCTGCTCGGCTCGGCCATGGCGAAACATTCCACTCCACGGGGCTAGGGCGGTCACCCCACACCCCGTCGCATGGGGCTGCAATGTGCACGTGACCGCGTTGTCGTAGATATCGATCGGGTGCATGCATCGGCTGTGAAACTCAAAGTTCGCCGAGTACACGGACATGGCCAACGAACTGACAAAGAGAGCGGGCCACGGACGCATCCACAATCTGGGACGGTCGAAACAGGAATGCGATGGGTCGCAAGCCGACCGAGGGTACCAAAATAGACAGGAAGACCCAACTGTGTACGGTTTCCTCATATTGGCAAGCAGTGCAATGCCCTGTCTTGGAGCACATCATCATGGCGTCGGTGGTGACAAGCCTGCGCGCCTCGTTCGATGCCTGGATTTGATGCGACGGAAAGTAGACGAGTCAATGTACAAGATATCGTTATCCTTCATGCCCCGACATGATCCACACGGATCATGTTCCACTTGTTTCCTTGGCTTCACGTTTGGCCTTGGCAGCCGCGATCTTGGCATTGAATGCCTGACCAGCTCCATTCAGTCACTTAGATTGCTCACGGCATGGGATGTAAGTATACCTCCTTTCTGCTTCCAAACTTGCCACGATTGTGGTAGATAACACTGGCCTGGCCAGATGCTGTCGTGGCCGCGATCGCTTGCGCCGCTGTCTCACGGCATGCTTGGGCCAGTTCCTGCGCCACTTGCCGGTCCCGCGCCGACATCTCGCCGTCGAATGCGACGGATACTGTCGAGTCCGGATAACTTACGTACATGTGTTGTATTTAATGTACGTACGATCCAGTACACTCGGGAACTGTTTGAATGGCCACCACGGCCAGCGGAGCGACTGGAGCGATCACGTCGACGCCACTTTGGTTTCTGGCGAGTTGGCCGCAGGAAGGCCAGTGCGGCGCTCGTCGCCCGTGGACAGGGCTTAGAACGAGGGACAGCGGATCTCGATGATGTCACAACCATGCTAATTCTGAACGGGGCTTATATGCAACGTTCTGTGTGGAAAACTGTTTTCAAACCACTGAGAGACTCCAAGCATAATAGTGCATGTGTGCGCCCGTTTGAAAGGACCAGCGCGGCCGCAGGAACCGTAGGATTGCATGTACCCCACAGCAACTAGCATGCAAAAGTTTTAGCCCTTCACATCCTCTGAATATTCCCATCGACGCTGGTCACGACAGTGTAGTTCTTGTGGAGCAGCCTTCAATGCATGGACCTTTTGAAACGGCGCGCCATTCACAGGCGACGACTTCGCCATGGGCTAGACCCGATGGCATTCGCTGCCAGAATCAACAACGAGGTCGAAAGATGCAGCCAAAGAGCGGAGGGTGCGCCATTCTGCCACGCGAACAAACGCATCTCCATGTCGACCAGACAAACTATTCACCGCAACCCGTCGTGCAATTCGGTCGGGTCATTTGGCTGCGGCAAGTTCCGTGCCATGACGCCTTGCCTCTCTCCCGAGGGCACTTCGAATTACTTTTCAGAAACCGTTGCGACGTGTCGTCGCAGTTACACAATAAGGAAGAGCAGCCGAATGGAGGCGCCGTCGGACGGCGGCGACTTGGCACTCCTGGCAGACATGGCCAAGATGGAGTTGAGGGACTGGTCAAAGCAAACCCGCGCGGGTGCATCGGATCAGTTGAAGGCGTTGCGGCAAGGGATGGGGGCTGCCAGTAGGGCACGCGCGAAGGCTCGCGCGGACCGGGAGCGCCGGACGAAGAAGCGCGAAGGAATGTACAACCCGCACGTGATCCAGGCCAAAGCCGCCGCCCAATTGCAAAAGGAAGAGCTCACAAAGGTGAACCAACTACTACTTGCATCTTGTTTGCCTGGAACGTGCGTGGACCGCAGTATTTGATGCCCGAGTGTGCGTAGCTCATGAAGGACGTGAACGCGCTGTTGCGGAAAGAGCGCAAGAATCTTCCCCAATGGATTCGAGTACGCTCCTCCTTGCTTCTGGCTTGACCGGCCTCCCGATTAGAAATACAAAGACGAAGACCCACGATGTGTGTACTACCACAGCATGCTGCGTCGAGTTGGACTACCGGAGCGTCACGCTCGTGTGCGTAGGCCATCGCGTGCCGTGCTCTTTTGTGTGGCTACGTTGGATGACCATCGCCGATCGTTGTGTAGTTTGCGCCGTGGTTCCTCAAGTCGAACCAGCTCGTGCTCAACAAATACGGGCAAAAGCTGTTTGATCGATTTGAAGCGGCATATCTAGCGCAAGTCGTGCGTCTCAGCGACACCGAGGCGGCTATTCAGAATCTTGAGGCGTTTGCAAAGCGCGTCGAGTCCCTCCAACTGGGCCCTCGAGAACAGGTGCATCGAAGTCTTGGGGGGCCACCTCCTACACATGTGTCAAGACGGGCAGTTGTGTAGAACCAGTCATTGCTCCAGCGAGCGTTCCGCACTGCTTCCTTTCCACCCCCGAGGCTCCGCTTCACGGACCGATCGAGTTCGATCCACCCGTTGATTCGCAACGACGGCAGCATCGACGATGATACACCGTTGGCAGACATCGCAGACAAACACGACTTGGACGACCCAACCGCAAAAGCTATTCCAATTGCCCCCGTCAAAGTCGCAGCAGCGCCGCCTGGGTTGGCCCCCGCCGTGCCTGGCAAAGTCGAGAGCCACGGAAAGCACTTGTACCATGCATACAACGGACGGTGGAAGGATGGCCACATGCGAGGACCAGTGGGGGTCTACGAGTTCGCGGATGGCGGCAAATACACTGGCGCGTGGAAGGACAGCGTGCAGTGCGGCATGGGCACCGCTGTGCGTACTGGAGTGAATCTTGGACCCTTTCGATTCACGCATTGTAGGAGTACCCGAACGGAACGAAATACGTCGGGCAATGGAAAGATGGCAAGTACCATGGCCAAGGCACGTGGTCGACTACAAGTGGGGTTGAATTCGTTGGAGAGTGGAAAAACGGGATGCGTGAAGGCAAGGGTCGGCTCCAGCTGCCGTCGGGGGCGGTCTACGACGGCGAGTTTTACAAAAACCAGCGGCATGGCCTTGGCGTTGAATCGAGCCCGTACGCAATGGATTTTATAGACTAGCATCGTTCATTGGGGTTGTAGGTTGGGTTACAAGTACAAGGGAACCTTTCGCATGAATCGAATATATGGCCAAGGGCAAATCGAAATCGAAATGGACAACGGCAAGGTGCACGTGTACGCCAAGGACCAGTGGCAGCCGTGCCTGTTGGGAGGTTCGTACACCCGTCTGAGTCTGATTCGCCATGGATTGGGGTCTGAGTCTGATTCCAGAGGCTGCCATGGAGGCCAAGATGCACTGGCTTGGGATCGACGACAACGAAGAAGTGTTTATGCGGCGGCTCATGCGCGTGCGGGACGATTTCCGCGCCGACGATCTGCAAGAAAAATTCCATGTCAAGGAGGCGCAACGTATCGTGGATGCAGAGCGTGCGAGAAAGCAAGCGCTACGGGAAGCCAACAAAGACAAACGAGAGGCCCTGGCGAGGGCCAAAGAAGCCTTCAAGAATCGAATTTTGCAAGACAACGACAGCGACGACGTTGACGAGAGCATGCCGAAACCACGTTTTCTCCGTGGGGACGACGACGGTGATGACGACGACGAGAGCGATGACGAGAGCGACGATGATAGCCAACATGACGACGTTCCCGCACAGTCAAATCAATAGCTGTACACTCTCCGCCTTCTTTAGAAACGCCGTCGAGCCCATCAGTGTCCCTGAGGCGATCGATACCTCGATGATACCCGGAATGAAACGAGTATTCCATCCTGCCTGACCCCAAGACGTGGGCCATCCGATACAATGTGGTCACAAATCGTCACGGTAGAGCGGATTGTCATTTGAAAGTTTCGAGCATTGCAATTCCCAGCAGGATGTTGTCTCGATCAAGAATACACGACCTACACAAAAACGAACGCTGCTTTAGTACAGAGCACTCCATCGATACAAAGCACGCACTGCGTCGGACGGGACCGAATCCTCTGCATCATGTAGTGCACAAAGGCTCTGCACTTGGAGCCGCTCGCCACGCACACGGCCAAGGAAATGCTGGCCACCGAATGTGCTCGACGTCTGCTTTATATGTTCGCGTGGAGCGACAAGCGGGTGTGTCGTAAACTCTGGTGGCTTGTGTTGGTCCAGGGCATGGGCGTGATGCATGTCTCGCTTCAGATTCTTCACTCGTTGTGATTCCCTGGCCATACATGATCTTCTCTGTCTTCTTGGGAAGACGATCCTGAACCACGCACCTCTTTGTGTCCCATTCCTTGGCCCGCAGCGTTGCGTACTGCTTGTCCGTCAGCGCCTCCTCGAGTTGCTTTCGTTCTGCGTGCTGTTTGATCCGCAAGTCTTCTCGCTGTTTTTGCTTGAACCGTTGAAACTCCTACATTCGACCGTCCGTCAGTAAAACACCACAACAGGTGCGGCTTGATGGATGGTGGCACCTGTGCGTTCTTGGCGCGCTCGAGTTTTTCGATCGCATCGGCGCGTGCGTACACGCTCTTGGCCTGTTCGTACAGTTGCAGCTTGGACAGGTTGCGCTCGGACGTTTTGAGGTCGAGAAGGGTCTTTGAAAACTTGACCATTGGTTCGTGAATGCGGTCGAGGTAGTCTTCCAGCTGCCTCGTTTGAATCGCATGGGATTTGGCCAAGTCTTCGCGGCGCCAGTCGCAATTTGTGTCGACGTCGACGTGCCTTTGAACCCACTTAGAGTCGTGTTGCGCGCGAACGAGCGTAATCGCGTCGAGAAAGTGGTCGCCTTCTTCGTCTTGTCGCCGCTAGTACACGATGTTGGGACAGCATTAAATGACTCAAGAATGCTGCAAGGAGTACCTTTTCGTAGGTCTGCTGGAGTTGGATGAATTCACGTCGGATGAGCCGGAGTCGGTCTCGTAGTACGATCGCGGGGGCATACCGGCCTTTCGTCGTCATTTGACGCAACACGCCCATCATTTCCGTGCGGATCTTCGTGAACATGACGATCTGGTCGCGTTTATCCACAATGTCGTCTGCACCGTAACCAAAGATCGAATACACATCGGCCAGGCACTGGATTTCTTGCGTGCTCTTGCCTTCCAACGCGTCGGGTTCAAGCTGGGCAATCGCAAACCTCAAGTCGTCGCAGAACTAGCAAGAGAACACGGACAGATGAACAATGTCCCACTCACACGCACATGGCGTTGCGCTCTACCTGGGCGTCGTCGCCGCTCGGCTGCGCCATCGTGCTTGGATTCCACCGTGAAAAAGCACGAGCCAATGCTATTTATAGAGTCCAACCTGATTGGCCGAATATAAACCAATCAAAGAAAACCACTCACAGTGCGCAAGGCGGCAGCACCGACGACGACGCCACCGACGGAGACGGGTCATCGCGCCGGGGTCGGTCGGGAGTACGCGCGCCTGTACGTCTCATGTCAACGTACACACGGTACCACGCCTTGTCTCCCCCTGTGGCGTGTCAGCAAATCGTCGCCGAACCCGTCTGGGATGAATCGTTTCATGCTTCCTCCAAGGTGACTCGTGCATGTGCTTACGCCTGCGCTTCACGGCCACCATAAGAACCACAAGCCTTTCCACACGCATGTAACAAGCCAAAAGGAGCGGCATACGAAGCTCGGCGCTGTGCCACGTGTCCGTGCGATATCTTTCGTTTTGTCGTTGGCCTTTTCTCTCGAACGTTCCACCTCCCGCCGCGCGAAGGCCACGTGGTGAACCTGTCACAATTGATAATTTCCCCCCGCACGACACGTGTACCACTGGATCCGTGAAACGCGGGTTGCATACAAATTCAACGGATACTTACCTGTGACAATGCATACACTTCCATATTGGATAAAAAAATGCTGACGTGGCACCAAGGTTGGGGAGACGATAAATTTTGACAGTGTGTGTTTTCCATACAAACCCACCGAGCCACGTAGCCACCGCAGATTTCCATGCACACAGCAGCCAGTTTCGAATTTGCCAACTGAAGGAAAGATGAACTTGATCAAGACGTTCGCGTACGCTGCGGGACTCGCGGCGGCGTGCCTCATGAGCTCTGCGATGGCTCAAGAACCGAAGGGGCCTGTGATCGGTATCGATCTCGGCACGACGTACTCGTGCGTCGGGCACTACGCCAACGGCAAGGTGGAAATCATTGCGAACGACCAGGGTAACCGTATCACGCCGTCGTATGTCGCGTGGGACTCGAACGACGAACGTTTGATTGGGGACGGTGCCAAGAACCAGGCCACGATCAACCCCGAAAACACATTGTTCGACGTGAAGCGTTTGATCGGCCGCAGCTACAACGACAAGTCGGTTCAAGCCGACAAGAAGTTGCTGCCTTTCCACATCGTCAACAAGGACGGACGTCCTTTTATTGAAGTCAAGATCAAGGGCGAGGCCAAGCAATTCTCTCCTGAAGAAGTGTCCGCCATGATCTTGACCAAGATGAAGACTATTGCCGAAAACTACCTCGGCAAGGAAGTGCACGACGCTGTTGTGACTGTGCCTGCGTACTTCAACGATGCTCAGCGTCAAGCTACCAAGGATGCTGGTACCATTGCTGGTTTGACCGTGCAACGTATTATCAACGAACCGACGGCTGCCGCGATTGCGTACGGTATTGACAAGAAGGCCAAGGGTGAAAAGAACGTGTTGGTGTTCGATTTGGGTGGCGGTACCTTCGATGTCACCTTGTTGACCATCGATGGTGGTGTGTTTGAGGTGTTGTCGACCAACGGTGACACGCACTTGGGCGGTGAAGACTTCGATCAGCGCATTATGCAATTTTTCATCAAGAAGTGGCAAAAGCAAAAGAAGATCGACATTTCCAGCGACAAGCGCGCGTTGCAAAAGCTCCGCCGTGAAGCCGAACGTGTCAAGCGCGCTTTGTCGACCCAGCCCCAAGCCCGTCTCGAAATTGAATCTCTCTTGGACGGCGAAGATTTCGACGAAACGCTGACCCGAGCTCGTTTTGAAGAACTGAACAATGACTTGTTCAAAAAGACGTTGACCCCCGTGGAAAAGGTAATGAAGGATGCTGGGTTGAAGAAGAGCGAAGTCGACGAAATTGTGCTTGTGGGTGGTTCGACTCGTATCCCAAAGATCCAACAACTGATCAAGGACTTCTTTAACGGCAAGGAACCTTCGCGCGGCATCAACCCTGATGAAGCTGTCGCGTACGGTGCCGCCGTGCAAGGCGGTATCTTGGGTGGCGAAAACGACTCCAACCTGAACGAAATCTTGTTGTTGGATGTGGCGCCCTTGTCGTTGGGCATTGAAACTGTCGGTGGTGTCATGACCAAGATTATCAACCGCAACACGGTCGTCCCCACCAAGAAGTCGCAAACCTTCTCGACCTACCAGGACAACCAACCCGCTGTGTCGATCCAAGTGTTTGAAGGTGAACGTGCCATGACCAAAGACAACCACATTCTCGGCAAGTTTGAATTGACCGGCATTCCCCCTGCTCCTCGTGGTGTGCCCCAAATCGAAGTCACGTTTGAAGTCGACGCCAACGGTATCTTGCAAGTGTCTGCAGAAGACAAGGGCACGGGCAAGGCCGAGAAGATTACGATCACGGCCGAAAAGGGTCGCTTGTCGCAAGAAGAAATTGACCGCATGGTGCAAGAAGCGGAAGAAAACGCGGAAGAAGACAAGAAGATCAAGGACCGCATTGACGGTCGCAACTCGTTGGAAGGCTACCTCTACAACTTGAAGAACAATGTCGAAGACAAGTTGGCCGACAAGATTGAAGAAGCCGACAAGGACACGTTGTTGAAGGCGGTCCAAGAAGCCATGGACTGGTTGGACGAAAACCAAGAAGCTGACAAGGAAGACTTTGACGCTCAGCAAAAGGCCATTGAAAAGATCGCAAACCCCATCATGGCCAAGGTGTACCAATCCACCGGCGGTGCCGGCGCCGCGGGCGGCGACGACGATGACGATGAAGATCATGACGAATTGTAAGCCATTGGCCTCGTTTTTCTTTGTTTGCACCTTTTGTAATCAATATTTTTCAATCTATTAATTCGATCGATCGACAAGCTGAAATTGTGCCACGTCATGACTTGATAAAAGTATGAAAAAGGATTGTGAAAGTATATTCGTGGTCGAGGGATTTCGATGGACTGTACGGGGATTGTATACAATTCGCGATGTAGTTGACAGTCTCGTGGAATTCCTTGGACAATAATTCCACGAATTGAGAATTATTTCTTCACCATCGTGGATTTGATAAAAATTTAGGAGTTACCTCGTATCAGGCATGTGATTTGCTAAAATCATGGGTTGTATGACCAATAAGGAGTCTTCGCAAGATTGCAATCTTCTTTCATAACCAGGACAGCATGCAAGAACGGCTGATGCAGCGCAGGTCTCTAGCAGACCTCGTGGACATGCGCGCTGCTGAAAGCACGTTCAAGTGTCTTATGGATACGCTAGAGGCTCAAGCAAACGAGATTGGTCAACTCAAGGCGTCTGTGGCGGCATTGGTGCTCCAGAACTCGGTTCAAAGCGCTTGGAACGACAACGTGACCATCACCCAAGCGACGCTGATGCCTCGTATCGACGCTTTAGAAGCTGCCATTAAACTACCCAACGTCAGGAACGCGACTCTAGGCTCGATCGTTGCTGCAAACTACAAGGAAATCGTAAGCATGCGAGAAAAATTGCAGCGCAAGATAGATGCCGCCGTCGTCGAAGATGCTTGTCGACGTGTAGAGACCAAGCTATCGAGCGCATTGGACACCCTTCGCAAAGACTGCGTCACCTTGGAGCTGATTTCACGGTATCAACTCTTCGCTCAATCATGCCGCAAAAATGTAACCTCACGAGTCCTAAACATGGGCATCACCATACAGGCTGCACATGGACCAAGATGAATTGCATACAAAACTCGCGACCGTCGAAGCCCAAATCGACTCGAAAATGGACAAAGTCTCTATACTGCATTTCCATGATGCTGGGTTGATGAACTTGGTGTCGTAGACTGAAGCGACGCGCATGGACGCAGTCGCGACCACCATGCATGCGTTCATCCCTCGCTGCTCCGAAATCGAGCACTCATTGCAGCAACTCCACGAGAAACTCGCTGCATCCAACGCCAAATGCCGGCAGCACGATCAGCACGTGTCCACAGAGACCGCGCACCTTCGCCAACTTGTGTCCCAGCAACACCGAGACGTGGGAGCGCTACGTGCTGAAACCACGGCGGGACAAGCCACGATCGAGGCGGCAGTCCAAGCCTGCAAGGAAAACATCTCCCTTTGCCACAACAAACTGCAGACGATCCGTCAGGCGCACGCTGATTTTGCCGCGTCCACTCGATCGTCCTTGCGCCAGCTCACCCAGACGGGCGAACGCAACTTTCAGAGCCTTCGCGACGAGGTAGATATAGATTCTCCTGACCTGCATGCTATAAACTGGTGCAACGCTGTGTGTAGTTGGATGGTAAGGTGAGCAGGACCGACTGGGATGCGCAGCGTCGTGAAATGGAAGCGCTGGTTCAGACGAAGGTTGTCCACTCGGCCTCGTAACGAGTGAGCTAATCCGTGGTATGCCCCTAGACACCCCTCGCGGTCACGGCGGCCACGAAAGCCGTCGTCGACAAGTTGGACGAATGGGTCACTCGGTGCGATGCGCATGTTCAGTTGAGTTTGCGGTTCATCGACTGGTACTTCAATCGGGGCGACGCGTACGAGCACAACATGCAGGTCATGGAGGCGCAACTCAAGCAACTCTCCCTGCGCCACGTCTCTCGTGAACCATTCGATGGCCGCGTCCGATTTGTATGAACACGAGTGGCTGCAACTGATGGTCATGATAACGCAACGAAACAGTGTGTGGCCACGAGCTGTTGGAACTGGACGGTTGCCCCTTGGTCACGGGTTAGTACGAGGTCATGCAGGCTGAAAATGGCGTCGAGCAGGTCGTAGCCTGTCAAGCTCGTCAGGGGGGTCTCGTCGCTGGCAGCGACGCGGGGCGACGCGAGAGTCGTCGTGGTGTTTTGTGGCAGCGTCTGGTCAAACGGCACAACCGCGGTGTCCTCCCACGGGAGAGTCCCCCCTGCCAGAGTGAACACTTGGTCGAGGTCGGGCTCCGCTTCCTCGGGAATCGTCGCCGCTCCGTTGCCTTTGCCCAGGCGAGTTTGCACTTCGGATGCCGGCGTTCGACCGTACTGGGAACTTGTGTGAGCTAGCAGATCACAAAAAGCACGTCGTACTGTGTTGGGCAAGTGCTTGTCAGCGCCGTACTTGAGCAAGAGAAGGGCCACGGGTACACTCGGCGCCAGCACTGTCCCCACATTAAAACAAGACGATTATGGCTGCTTGGCACACCTGCTTTGTGCAATGGAGTGTCGCCATTCCCCTAATGCCCATTAGAAAAGCAAACCCCTGCAGGCGTGTCAGCTTACGCTTTGGCAATTGACGTTCATGCCGCAAAGGCTTGTGAGGTGGTCGACAACGTTGAGTCGACCTTTGCGGCAGGCGTGGTGTAGAGCGTTGCGCTGGTTGTTCTAGGCGAAGCATGCGTTATTTAGAGCGGTTGAAGGTGTGCTGCGTACGTCAACTTGGGTCGGGACAGCACCTGCTTCGCAGAGGGCGATGACCGACTGCAATTGGCCTACGTAGCACGCTTCACAGGTTGTGTGTCACTCACGCTGCGCATCACGTGCATGCATCATCTCGACGTACCCCAGTGCAAAGCGGTCATGCCAAATCGCTGCGACACAAGGAGTCCTTTTTCAGCATGGGCCTCGCAATCGATCGATGGCGACGTACGTCGATGCCGACGACCTTTTTTCGGTCCTTCTTGATCGCTTTGGCCAGTTCGTCGACTTTGCCATCGATCGCATGATGCACAAATGCCGCGATCGCGTTCGCCTGCCGCTCTTCGTACTTGAATTTGGAGTCGATGCACCCCATTCCATGCGCGATGGTCCGTTTCACGTGATGGTCTTGGTGTGCTAAACATGTCGGGACTGACGTCTATGGAACATCCTCCATGGTAGATGATATGTTCTGCACCGTTCAAAGCCTAGGGAGATGTGCTGCGCAGCTGGTCCTTGCCGACGGTAGCGGCGCCGTAGCCAGCACACGTCGAGTAACCGCCGATGAACGTTACGTTGTGCAGTTATCCGGATGACGCGCCATTCTGGAGAGTTCGCCCGGATACCAAACGGCCGAGGGCCAACCAACGATCGGGTGGTCGCCGCCAGCGGTGGATCGTCGGGGCTGGTCATTCTCCAACTGGACGTCTGAGCGCCATCTGCACAGTGGTGGCGTTCGATGTCACCTCAGTACTCGCCCCGATTCTGTCTAGAACCTGCTTGAGGGACAAGCGACGAGGACAGTTGAATATCAAAGTCTCAATGTCGATCCATGGCCCCGTGCCGTGGAACCGTTGATCGATGCGCTCTATATTCCCAATCTCGTGCTAGCTGCATTGCGGCCATAATGTAATGAGACACAACCATAGAGCAAACATCTCGAGACGATGTCGTCGACCAAATGTGGAGGCCCCGAGTCGACGTTGCAAACTAGGTTTTGTGTAGCAGTGGAGTGGAAAGTCGCGATGGGCCGAGAAGCCAGCACTTGGTGAACGAGCGCTCGGCACCGAATCGAGACGCACGGCCTTGGATGGACCACGTTTGCATAACTACAGGCGTGGCACGCGCCATGCTAGGCTAGGTTACCACGAGTAGTTCGGTCGACCTTGCATGCGGGAAACTCGTCGTGGGGCCTCCAAACGGCGACTGCTACATCGAAGCCTTTCGAAGGGTAATACAGCGTACGAAGAGATGATGCCGACACCAGTCGAAGCGAAGACTTGCCGCAGTGCACTTCCGAGCGCTTCGTCACGGCAAGCCATGAACAAATCCAGCTCCAACTTGATGTGCATCTATTGTACTCGTTCTATCCTTTCAGCTTGGCGTCAACTGCTACGGGTTGAATCCCGAGGGCGTCCATGCGCGCGACGAGCGTATTCTTGGCGTCGACGTCGCCCGCCTCCTCCAACGTGCGGACGGCGAGCGAGTAGATGAATCGGATGTCGCGCATGCTGACCGAAACGTTTCGCTGAGTGTTGTAGCTCGTCGCCGCCGCCTTTGTCTGGATCTGGCCGTTCACGACAATGCTGGATTCGAACGCGTCGAGAAAGGTCATGGTGAGGTCCGGAGCCCGACTGTCGCGGGAGTGACTAGCCAGCGCCGACATGGCCTTGAGCATGACCTTCGAGTTGGGGGCGAATCCGGCGTCGAGCATCATATCGAGCACTTCCTTGGCCTGGTCGAATTGACCTTGGGTGAACAGCACCTCCAGCGCATTGCGGAAGGATCCGCCCAACGGGTGCAGGCGCAGCAACGTCAGCATCTCGTCCAGGTGACCAGCTTGGGCCGTCGCCCGCACGAGCGACCCCTCGAACGAGCCATGGGACTTCTTACCGTTGGGGTAATTCGCGATCGCTTCATCGTACAGCTCCTTCGTTTCGGCCAAGTTGTGGCTATTCACGGCGCTCACTTGCAGCAACTTTTGGTACGTCAACTCTGGCAGCGGGAACTTCCTTGGGTCACTGCGCGCTTGGCGGTATATCTCGAGCAATGCTCCACGCTGTTTGCCGTAAAACAGCACGTTCGCCAGCGAATCCACCATGGTGTAGTCGGGTTGGAACGCCGGCTGACGGGATCGAATCATCCTAGAACAATCGTGACGAAATTGGACGATCCCATGGCACCACGGCGCCCGGGATGGCTGCGCCTCCTGTCCACACAACGGCACAACACGGCGAACGCCGCACACGTCAGGCGTACAGAGCTGTGACACGAATACCACCACACAGAACGTAAATACCACACGTTGGACAACCGGCAAAGCGCCATGTCACCAGCGCTCGTGGAGACGACGAGCGCAAAGGGCGGTGGGTGTGCAGAGACGGGTTCCCACCAGGGGAATGCGTACCTCAGGCATGTGACGATGGCCGACGCGAACCGAGCCATCAAATCGCTTCGACTCTTTTCGTTGACGCTGTCAAGGCCATAGAACGAATACCGCACCGGGTCAAACCACATCGACTTGAAGACCGTCGGGGACACATCGTGGCCGTGCGACGTCATCATGTCGACTACATCGATCATGGCTTTGTACTGGCGCATTTTTGCGCACACCCGGACCACGTCATGGAACGCTTCCATGCGCATGCCCTTGGTCGTGCGGATTGGGACGTGCGCCGAGTTGTCGGCGTCGACGCGCAAACTTCCCTGGAACAAGTCGACGGCCGCTTCCCACTCGCCGAGCTGGAGCACGACGGGGTACAGCATCTTGGGCTGGAAAATCGTTATGTTTTGAACCTTGGCCGCCTTGTACACTTCAAATGCACGGTGGACGTCGACAAGTTGCGCCTTCCCGTCGATCGGATTCACCTCGCGGCGGGTGTACTGCTTGAGCAGCAGCATGATCGCGCTAAGCGGGGGCATCGGCCACTTGGCCGTTTGCATCGACGCCACCACCGCGTCGATCTTGGCCACTTGATTCGTGGCCAAGAACGCCTCCAGCACTTGGGGAATCGTTCGGGGAGTTGAGTTCTCGGCCAGGATGGCGTCGGCGGCGCGGGCGGCATTCTCCCACTGCTTCTTGTCGAGATATCGGCGCAGGTCGCCGTCCAGCTTGGATTTGGGTCTACTCACGCACACCAAGCGACGAATGAGGGCCTGTTGAATGCGTGGAAAACCATGAGAACGGGCGGCGACGTACTGGTGTCGGCTGTGCAAATACACACGTTCCAGCGCCTTCGTCGAGAGGAGGTGGTTGGACTTGGCGTTGGTGGGGACTCCTGCTGCGTTCATTTCAGCCACGATTGTCGGCATTTCGTCGGTCCGGTCGAGAAGGATGAGTGCTTCCAGGATGATGTTGTACTCGGGTGTATCGAGAGTCAGGTCGAAAAGCTTGCGGTTGTGCAAGATGTCGGCCGCTTCCTTTTTGCACCTGTCGCCACGTCAGTCGTTACTGGTGGTCTCTAGACCATTCATATGGGACGACGCACTCGTTTCGGACAGCAATTTCGAGGACAGTTTTGAATGTCGACGCGACCAAGTCCATGGAGGATTCCCCATAAAACTTGAACGCTTCTTGAGGCAGTCCAACCATTCCAAGGGATACAAGCGTGCGATTGAGGGCCGGGATGGTCCAGATGCCCACATTCGGATCGAGATCGGAAAGGATTTCTACAGGATCGAGATGAGGTACATCGCAACCGACGGCCGGGATTGCCGTGCAGCACGACGGACGCATCGTTGACAACAACCCAGTGCGACGAAGGGAGAGATGGAGATCCGACAAACGTACCCAAGATGGTCGCTTTGTCGCCTTTCTTCGCCAAGTTGAAAAGCAGCCGGGACACTGTCTCGTTGGGCACCATATAGCCTTCGTGCTTCATCTCGGCCAACAGGGCCTTGACCTTGCCCAAGTTGTTTTGCTCAATCGACGCCGTGAGCGCCCAGATGTAAAAAATGGGCTGTGGATGGGGATGCGCGATCTTCTCGGCGTCGTAGATGGCGAGCATCTCGTTGAACTTGCGAAGGCGCAAGAACGACACACGCGACTCCATAAAGTGTCGGGCCTTGATTTCCTTGGGGTACATCTTATGCATCGCCATGACCGTTTCCACGAGCACCGTGTCCATGTCCAACGCGCGGCCGGCGTTGAAGAACGTTTTGAGCTCGATCGCGGTCGGGGACGGATTGTGCGCGTAAAAGTCCCGCCACGTGGACTTGAGGCTTTTCACCAAGGTAAAGAACGCAGGATTCCCTCGACTGTTCATCAATTCGTCCTTGTTTGTCGACCCAAGCTTCCTCACCTCTGAAAACGACAGCCTCTCGACTTGCTCGTCAGGTGTGTGGTGGGACGCAAATCCACGCACGCCAATCCCGTTGCGATGGAGCCATGCAGGCATACGACGCAGTGGGGTGTACGCACGTTGCAGCACAAGCGAATCGACGCTCCTTGAAGTTGCTCCATGCACAGCAGCCAGTGCCGTCGGCCGCCGAACAACCTCCTGCGACGCGCGGCGGACAGCGTGCCGAAGCATCGTGTAGTACTTTTGAGCGCGATTGAGTGGTTGTCAACTTCAGAAGGTCTACCATTGGCTGAATATTATCCAATCAAAAGCCAGAAATATCGGCACCACGATGGCAATTTCGACGGCGGCCGCCGACGGCCGAGGAAGGCGACGGCACCCAAGTAGTAATGACAAGATTATGAAGCATCTATTCACCTATATCCTAGTAGTCGTTGTTGTCGTAGTTGCGACGACGGTCGTTGCGACCTTCGTCACGGCCACCTCGCTTGGCACGGCCCCCGTACCCGCGTTCGCCGCTGGCGCGATGGTGGTCGTGGCGGTCGCGACGGTCGTCGTGAAACGACGGGCGGCGCTCTTCACGTTCTCGCACGAACGCGACGCGGATATTTTGTCCTTGAACGTCGACGCCGGACAACTTGATTGCTTGGTCCACAGCGTCGGTGTGAGCAAAGTTGACGTATCCAAAGCCACGGGGCTCGCCAGTCTCGCGGTCGACAGCAATGTGAATGCGTTCGATTTCACCGCATTCTTCAAACAAATCTTGCAACATGCCGCTGTTGACATCTTCCGACAAGTTGCCGACGTACACGGACTTGCAACCGTCGGGTTTGTGGCGGGGCATGCGCTTGGCACGGAGAGAGTACTCGACGTTGATGCGGCGACCAAATGCGTCCGCGCCGGACACGTCCAAGGCCTTGTCGCAGCTGGTGGGGTCGACAAACTCGACGAAGCCGTAGCCCAGCGGACGGCCAGTGTCGCGGTCCTTGGCGAAATGGACGGACGAAATGTCACCGCAGTGTTCAAACATGGACCGAATGCTTTCTTCCGTGAGATCGAACGGCACGTTCGAAAACCGAATAGCCGAGCAGTCCGCGGGGCGTTCCGTGGTCTTGACGACGCGGGGGAGCGCAAACGACACCTTCATGTAACGAGATCCGCACGCTTCGCCGTCGAGTTCGAGGGCGGCTTGGGCTTCCGCAGGTTCGGTGTACTCGACGAACGCCGTGCCTTGGAAGCGGCCATCGCGGCGCTTCGTCATCGAGATGCGTGTGATTTCACCGTACTTTTCAAACAAGTCGCGAATGTGAGATTCTTCCGTGTCAAAGGGCAGACCGCCGATCCAGACTGTCGACACAGGCTCCGCTCCAGTCGAGAAGAAGCGAGCCATCGACGTCATGGGCAACGAAAACGCAGCAGGCAGAACAAAGCGAGGCGCAAACGCCGCTGCCACAGACGTGGACTGCATCGTCGCATTGGCAGAGAGAGCAGACACAGCGGCCGACGTGGCCTTTGGGAACGCTTGGCGCGTCAATCGGGTCGCAATGCGGAACATCGTCGGCAAATGGAACTTTGACTCGGTCGCCTTCCACCACTGCATTTGGTTGGAGGGAGAAACCTCTATCATTTCATATACGGCCATTCAATTATCATATGTCACAGGTTTTACCGGTCGTGCAACGACAAGTCGACGAGCTCTGCTGGGAGGGGCTGGAGGGACTCCATGATGAAGCACGCCACGTGGCTTCGCTGTGCGCTGGCATCGATCAAGACACATGTACCTAGCACGGGATCCATGGTCTCGCCAAACAGTCTTGTTCAGTGATGCATGTCGAGCGTGCTTGCACGGCCCCTCGGGGTCAACACGGGGGTCACACTGGCGACCGTAGCCTCCCGCTACTGCCCGGCGTTCGGCATATATCGAGGCATGTACGTACTGGCTTCAGAGGCACCGACGTTCATCTCCGTCATGCGGCGTCGACTTTTGTCCGTCTGCGATGGCGCTATCCATTCCGTGCACGTTGTGCAGCATGCAGAAGCAATCCACACAGAATCGCATGTCGAAAGACGAGTGGTTGCGCCGTGGATGCATTCCATGAGCAGATGCGACAACTCGGCCGGAGGTGCGTGCCACACAAACCTGCGCGACTAAAAGACCTTGCCATCTGATGCGCATCGCCAAATACCAGCGATGCCATTGGTCGACCACTTTTGGAATTGTCATGTGGGGGCTTCGCCGCGTTGTTGTCGCCGCTGCACGAGGTGGGCGACGGCGGGCTCGACAGTTGAGCATGGATGCATTCCTTGCATTCGAGCGCGAGCTGGCACGAAAGAAGCGCAGTGTGAGTCCGGTACGGTGCAGTGTATCGGATGAGGAACAACGTCGGGTCATGTGGTTGTACTAGCCGCCACGACCTCGTCGACTGGAGCCACCGACGCCGCCGCGTGATGGCGAGTGCTGCAACTTGAACTGCCCCAATTGCGTTCTACTCGTCTATCATGTACGCACGCGTGATACCGACGTCCACGTGGTGGTCATGCAGATTTTCATGTGTGTAGGAGCAACTTCTCGAATACGAAGACAGCGTTCGATGGGAAGAGGGGACTTCGGTCAAAGAGACTGGAACATGCGACCGACCGACGCCATCCGACGTAACACTCACGTGGGCGAGTCCAGCGGAGGCGTTGGCATGGGGCGCGCACGGTCCATGGGTCCGTCCACCGCGCGGGGTGTCCCCGAGTCGAGTTGTCGCCAACCGCGTCCTGACAACGACGCCGCATCGATCGGTGCATCACATTCAAGTCGAGCATGCGCCAGAAATGTACCACACAGCGGGAAACTGGAACGCGTACGTGCCAAATGCGGACACCGTCGTGTCGCGATGCCTCGATCGATTGTCGTTGCCACCAGGGGCGGACGCCTCGACCGCCGTCGTCCAAATCAATCCTGGCCACACAAAATCCTATCCCATCCACGAATGGTTGTCGTTAACGTCTCTGTTGACGTGGTACGTGGACCTGATGTCGCCCCCGACACCACGTACGCTTCGGCGCCTCAGTGCGCTCGCGACCGCGCCAACCGAGCAAACGCGATTGATCGACCTCGCAGCGGACACATCACGGTCCCTGTCGTCGTTTGCCGACGTGCTCGACGACTTCCCGTCCATCGTGCTGTCCGCCGAAGCCTGCCTTAGTCTGGCACCACCGCTCTTGCCGCGCAGCTACACGATTGCGTCCTCGTCCAAGCAGGACCCGACTACGATTGCCCTCACTGTCGCTGTGAAGGCACCGCCGCTACATGGTCGGTGTTCGACGCACTTGGCCTCGTCTCGGCCGCATGCCTGTCGAATCTACGGAGCCGCGGCGCCTTCGAGCTTTAGTGAGCACTGGCGCGCTCACTTTCCCCCGTCGACGCCGCAGCTGTGGATTGCCACGGGCACAGGCATCGCTCCTTTTCGCGGGCTCCTTGAAGAGTTATCCCACGTCGAGAAGCGCCCGCCCGTTGCATTGTACTATGGCTGCCGGAATCCATCAGACGAGCTCTACCACAACGAGTTGACCGGAGCGCTCGCCCAGCGCGTTCTGCAGAGTTACACCCCCGTGTACTCGCACACACCGCCATCGTCCCACGTACGACTCGTTGGATGGTTTGCCATTTCACCATGACATGACGTAGTCGCCATCGTTGCCGTGGCACGTGGGCGACAAGCTGAAACAAGATGCGGCGGCCATCTTCAACTACCTCGAGCACGGAACCGTGTACGTGTGTGGGTCGATGGCGATGGGCCGTGACGTGAATCGGGCGCTGGTGGACTGCCTCACGAGCCAGCGCGGGTGGACGGCGGACAGAGCCAAAACCTACTTGAAAACGCTTCAAGTCGCTGGGCGGTACGTGGCCGAAGTATGGTGAGCCCTGTGCAGATATGGGGTCGAATCGGGACAAATGCATCGTTTTATGGCGGCGTGCAACGATTCAAAATTCGTCGAGTTAGCCGAGTAGATAGCGCGTCGTTGGGTCTTCATGGCGATGACGTAGTTCTCGCATCATGGCGACTGTCATCGCAGCCGATGCGCCAAACATGATGGCCGCTGCGGCCCAGTGCAGTCCATGCGGTTTCCACAGCTGGACATGTGGGAGCGGCGGCGACGTGGTCGTTGGCACCAAGCACGACCGCGCGCCGCGTGCAAACGCCAAGGTCTCGTTGAACACTGTCCAGTCGCATAGGTCTATCGAGCAGTCGGGAACACATCGCCCGCATGAAGGATGCGGCACGCACCGTCAAGACAAAACGGAAGCTGCAGGGGATATCCATTGTAGACGACTCGAACAGCATAGGCCGACGTGTCGTCGATCTGGCGCTTCTCTTCCTATGGCGAGACCACACAAATCTCTGGCGATTATGACCTGCCGACGGAAGGGTGGTGTGATTCCGTGCCATCGCACCTTGTACAGTTCAAACACCAGAGTCCCAGCATACGTGGTCCACCCACCGTCCCAACGGTCCCCCAGCAGTACGGCCATCATCGGCATGATGGTCGAGTCGTGGCCTGAATGGACAAACGAGGGTCTATCACGTCTTGGTCGTCGACACCAATGTGGGTGTACCGATGGTGATCGCGAGTTTCGGGGCGTCTTCGGGGTTCGCCATGGCGGCGTCCATGCGGTGGAGGACGTCGGCCCACATGCGGTGCATGTCGACCTTGGCATACCATCCGTCTCGGTACGTTAGAACGAGTTTCTTGCGGGCTTGGACGTGTTGAATCAAGCCATCAAACATGTCTTGGGTCGTGCCGGGGGGAAGGGCCAAGTCGTTGCATCTAATCACTTGCCGTCGGCGTGCTTGCCCCATCGCATGCAACTTAACACCTTGCAATCATGAGGCACTCCAAGCACGTGTCCCACGAGAACGTGCCGTTGACCACTCGTTCAAACGCGGCCTGCAACGCCGCGACGGACGCGGCGCTTGATGTCCACTCGGGGGAGGCTTGAACTTGCTCCACGATCTACGACCCCCCATTCCTCGAGTCAAAGGATCACCCTCGAGAGATGACCAGGTCGTACGTAAGGCAGCACGGGGCACGAGGTATCGTTTTTGTGGTCGATGTAGTCGGTTGCGCCGTCGGTGGTCATCCATGTCAACATGTGCTCGGCGTCGACGTCGTCGGAAGGATCATAAGGGAAGAGGCCATCGACCAGCGCGTGGCCAGACCCGAGCGTTCGCTCTTCATCGTCGCTGTATCATTGCCAGGCAGTTGAAACCCCGTTGGCCCATGACGACGTTGTACCTTCGAAGGTAGAGTTGGTGCTTGGGAATCGTCTAGCCAACGACAGTTTACGACACGATTGCCACAACTACACCAGTACGTTCAACTTGCTGGAAGCAAATAGTTTGTGCGGCCCGTGCCCAATGTATGCGTCGCGGAGGAACCTACAAGCGTCGCGTGAGGTGTTGTTGTCATGTGGCTGGAACGAACGTACTCGCCAACGCGGCGATGTTGTTGTCGGCCCAACGGAAGCAATCCACCGACAGCGCACGTGCCTGGCAAGACGTTTTCACCGTCAAGGTACTGTTTCTTGTACAGCCGACCATATCCTCGGTTTTTGTTCGACGGGGACGCAATGTCTTCCGACTGGAAAATGCAAAATGCAATGGTCACCATGCATGTGGACGACCCAAGCACGTACCCAAACAGAGCTCGTCGAGCAATTCCACACGGCATTCACAGGACTTGCCGCCGTTTCCCAGCAAAACACACGTGAGTACGGCGCCCGGGCTCCGTGGCGGGCCACGACCTGGGCTTGGACCAGCTCCATCGATCGTGTGGTAGTCACTGGCTGGATCGCGACCTTGGTCATCGTGTCCGTGGCCATGCAATAGTCGGGTACGCTCCATCCGTCGTACATGGACGCAAGCGCCACTTGTGCGAACGCGACCGCCGCTGCTTTCGCCATCGAACACAAGTTGAGACGAACTGTACCCTGGCATGCCCCCAACATCAAGATACGGATGGAAAACCTCTTTCAAATGATATTGCACGAGATCCTGACGTGGAGTCCTCCGGCGCAATCATATAGTATTGTAGAGGGTTCCTATTGTCACAGCAAATCACACATCGTGACGTTATCATTCAAAATCGACACAGCTACAGCAAGGCCCCGGGAGTGGACCCCACGATATACACGGGAGTTTGGATTTGCGTGGTGGGTTGGAGGGCATTGCGGCGACGATAGGCCAGCACGACCAGCACAAGTGCGATCGCAGCAATGCACGTGGCAATGGCGATCATTGCAATGTTCGTTGCCTCCGTGGAGCTTTTGCTGGTGGTTGCCGTCGACTCCGGCTCGAACGCGGCCAACCACGATGCCGACATAGCAGTCGTGCCGTCTTCTTGGCCATTGCACACCGTGGGATTCAACTCGTCGATGTCGTGTGATCGCACTTCAAAGCTCTCTGGGCCATGCACATCCCCCGTGCACTCTGGACATTTCAGTTTGTGAAATTCCACCGCTGGGAGCGGGACACATTCGCGGCGGTGGCGGTGGTAAACGTATCCCACGTTGCACGCGCAGTCGCATAGTCGTTTGTGGGCGCGAGGCTGGCACGTGGAGTGGGGCGGGCCAATGCAAGGCGTTGTGTTATTGAACGCCGTCACGGGGCACGACCGGATATTACACAGGATTGAGTCGACGGGCGCAGGTGTCGCGCACGACGCGTTTGGCAACACCATGCTTTCCTTCTCGTCCATGCACGAAGCCGTACGTACTTTGACGCCGCCGCCGCACGCTTTTGAGCATTTGGACCATTCGCTAACGACCCAATGCGACGCCGAGGTCTCGTGCGACGAGCAGCGGCGGAGTTTCTGGCGAGGGCACACCAAGGACGACCGAACAGACGGACCAAAGCACCTGAACCAGGCCATTGTTAGAAATTGCATTCGATTGAATGGAAGCGCGACGTACGTGGTGGGGTCTTCGACGAAACAGTAGCTCGCTCGGTCGGCCAGAAAGCACCCTGGTTGAGAGCTGACATCGGGGCATTTCAACGTCGTGCTGCACGCGCACGGGTCCTTTGGAGGCGACGGAAGGGAGGAATTCGTTGACGGGTCGCACTGCATGTACTTTTGACCAGCGCAATCGACCGAGTCGTAGAACGCCGCCCCCACGCATCTACGACGCGCGGTGAGTATGCAACGGCGCAGGTACAGCATTATACTTTGAGGGGTCCTTTACGTAACACCAAGAACGGCCGTGGAAGGTTTGGCACCCGCCGCCGCCGATGGTCGGGCACTTGGAATCTGTCGAGCAGCTGCATGGATCAGAGGGAGCGAGCGTAGTTGGCAGGGGAGACGTCGAAGTGGCGGTCGGAACTGGAGTGGTGGAGGGGGAGGTTGTGTGTGGCAACGATGTAGTTGTCTCGACTGCAATGGATGTTGAAGGGGTCGGACTAGCCGAAACTAGGGTCGGTGTTGTGGTGGGGCTCTGCGTCGTTGTCGTGGGGGCGCTAGTTACGGTGGTTGGGGCGACTCTGGTTGTTGTGGGGCTCGCTGTCGTGGTAAATATCGTCGTCGGCGGGCTCTGCGTGGAAGTCGCTGGCGGGTGTTCGATCGGGGGCTGCAGCGGGCATTCACCGTCAAACTCGAGGTAGTACAGTGTCTTGCCGTCGGCGTTTGTGCACGTCGCGGAAGGCTTTGCACGAGCGCACTGTTCGTAGCCGACAACGTAGCAATACCGTTTGTCCAAGAACGTTTGACATCCAGGTCGGACCAGTTCACGGCACATGTTTTCCGTCGAGCAAGCGCACGGATCCCAGCTTGGTGTGGTGGTCGGGGGCGTGGTCGTGGAAGGACGAAATGTTGTCGTTGGGCTTGGAGTCGTCGCTGTCGGTCGGACTGTCGACGTTGGCCTCGATGTCGTCGTAGGTTGGGCCGTGGGGGCAGGTGTTGTGGATGGGCGGGGCGTTGAACTTGTGGGTTGGGGGGTGGACGTACCAGGTGTCGCTGCTGTCGTCGTCGTGGGCGACAGAGTTGTGGCGGCTCCGTCAGAAGTGTACGGCTTCAGGCACTTGTCCAACACGCTTTGAACGAACGCACACACTTGGCCATTGTCATAAAACTTTACGGGCGAATTCCAGTCGTACGACATGATTCCCCCCTCGGCAAATGTGTGGTCCGCGCCAAAGTTGTGGCCAATTTCGTGACCGACGATGACCCATGTCATGGCGCCCGCGTCGATGGACACGCCCGTGTTGTAACCCATCGTGCTGCTGCACAGCGTCCCCACCCACGCAAGACCCGCCGTGTTTCCCGTGCGAGTGCGGTCCGCGTCGCAGTTGGTGTGGACATGCCAGAGTCCGCAGTTTTCTTGGTTGCACAGGGGAATTCCTCCGCCGGCGACCCACCTGGCGAAACCATTTAGACAAAACGTACGGGGTACACGATGCCATACGATTTGACAGCATTCAGCTGGATGTTCATGTCGACCATGGGGCCGCACGTTTGTGGCTCGACGTTCCAAGCAGCTCCCCCGGGGGCGGTTTGAATCAAGAACGCCCCAATCGTCAAATGCACCCCCACTTGGTCGTCGTACAATCCGTTAATGGAGTTGTACACTGCGATGAGGTAGCTTTGAGTTTGCGCCGCCCCGCCTACGAGTCAACTTGACCACATATTCCACCGAGAATGGCAGCGAAACGACGACTGGTCGTACCATGCTCGGAAGTAAACCCGGCATCCGATGCAACCCCGACAGTAATTTGGCGGGCAGTCCACGTGCATGCCGTCATTCGACCGTACGTCGTCGTCAGGTGGCGGTGGTGGTGGTCTTCAGAGAGTGTCGCGGCGGCTAGTGGCATCGTGTACGCAACCAAGCCTGTCACGGGCGAGTCCAGTTGATGGGCAACCTTGTGCTGCTCGACGGGATCGACGACCACAATCTTGTCGTGTAGTTTGACGGTAGCGTGGAACTTGTGGGCTTCAAACATCGTGAGGCGAATATATCCTTGAGGCAGTTTCCCTTCGTAGGCAATGTGGTGGGGCTTGTGCGACTTCAACAGCGCGAGCTCGGGGCCTTCATGGGCCCACACGAAAGTGTCGGGAGCAAACAGGTCACGTTTGAGATTGACGTCGAATTGCAAGTCGATGTGATTGCTCGTGCGGATATGAATGTGAAGGGATGGAGGGAACGGAGCGTCAGGGGCAAACGATTCGTGGCCATCGCGTGGCTCGATCGATACGTAATTGACAACGGAGTAGTCTTGCGCACTCGGTTGCGCCGACAGAACTAGAGATGCATCAAGTGGTCGGACTTTGACTCGTTGCTACGAAATAGACAGCCATACCATCTTCGAAGGACGTGATGTGAGTGCCGTGGGCATTAGCACTGCTTGGATGGAGAATGCCAAGGACTAGCAATGCGGCGCGCCGTACTCGCCCAAACATAGGCACACGAGCGGTGAAAGTGGCGCAATGACATTCCTTTGCCATCGGCAAGCAACGATCCAATTTTATCGCTCTATTTATGTGATAGAGAAGGTCTATCTTTGGGTTCGGATGGTCACAAGAATATCCCTGGGAAGCGGCCGACTTGGTCCGACTCTTTGTGCCGCTAAAGATGCAGTGCTTGCCACTGCATGTTGTGAATGCCATGGGAATGGATCGACGACGGCCCTTTTTCTGGTGCCATGGTTTCGTCGTCTTTCACACGTTTGAATTGTCCCTTCCACAGTCGTCCACCGTTCTGATTGGTTAAAACTCTCCATTTACGTAAGAAATCTTGAACAGTCACAAATTTGTTCCCCACGCACCCACTCCGGCGCTGGCATGCATGATCGAGGCAAGCCACGCGAGAAGATTTTTCAGTCGCGCGAGGAAATCCTGCTTCGTCGAAAGCTACAGCTTGCAGCTGCGAGATCCCCGTTCACCCTCGATGAGTGTCCGCGTGTGCCAGCATCGTTGTCGCCAACTCCATTTCCTCGGCCACAAGTGTCCGATCAAGCAGATCCCGCGCTGCCTTCCTCCATCACTGACCTCATCTCGGCATGCTGGAATCGTCCCATGGAAAACCTTGGTGTCGTGTGTATTCTCATTGCGTGCATCCTCGGTTTTGTGCTGACCAGCGCAGCATCAACGTCAAGTCGCCTCCCCTCAGTGTCGGCTTCAAACCAAGGAGATACTACCTTTCAGGCATCGACACCGCCATCTCCCACCGCCAGCCCCATGAGCACTCTGATCACTGACGTGGCAGCGCTGCGTGCGGAAATCGCCGAATTACGCACATTAGTCGAGAGGGGCTGGCATCGTCGTGATGACGTTTGTGACCGACGTTCAACAACATCTTGGTGATTATTTACATCGTGTTGGGGTCGTGTTCCGATGCCAGCGCACTCCAAAACTCACTCGGCTCTTGTCCACTTTGCACCACATCAAACGTGTCTGGAAACGATTCGTACGTTTGTAGGAGACGCTGCACCACCAAAGAGGAAGATATCACGATCAGGTAAGAGACAAGCACTCGAGCGTACCATGGCGGTCTTCCCCGTTTGAATCATGTCGTCGGTCGCGTCGCGGCCGCACCACAGCGAGCAGTACTTGGTTTCCAATGAACACACGACGAAACATGCCGCAGCATGGTCTTCCTGCCAGCCACTCCATCGTCAATATCACTGAGCGACCATTGGAAAATGTGGTACATGTATCTGCGGCGGGTCGTGCAATGGGTTGGACGACGGGGAGGAGGCCACCAAGTGGTCCGCCTGCACGGGGCCGATGATCAACGGGTAGTCGGGGAGCGGCACATCGGGCACGCCGTCGACGTCGCCGCGAGACATGTCGACGCGGAACAGCGTGATCGGCTGCTTGGTGTGGAGTCGGCGCAACGAGTCCCATTCATTCAGCTGAAAGATAAACCCTGCATTCGGGTCGATGACCGGGCGTGACGACCTCACGAGCTCGAGCGCGGGGTACAAGCCCAACTGTTCTCTCGCCATGAGGTACGCAATTGCCATCGCGGGTGACCTGGAGATGCCTTTGACGCAATGAATAAACACCTGGTGTCCATATTGTGAGGAAATTCGCTCCCAATGTTGAGACCCAATATTGCGAGGGTACCTTTCCGCGTCGAGACCGCGCCATGTCGATGAACTGGAAGATGCTGTAAAAGTGTTGATGGATGTCTTGCGTCGCATGGTCTCGCAGGCGCAAGCGGTAATAGTCAAACACGTGGGGAAAGTAGTTGGGGGTGACTGACGCCGCGCAGTTGATTACGTGGGTGATGCCGTGTTGCTCAAGGACGTCGCGTTGCGAGGCAACGGAGGCGCCCCCGACAAAGAGGAAGTCCGTCACTTGCGAGCACACGTTCGTGAAGTCCATTGTTTTGGTTGGGGATGCCACCGGCGCCATATGGGACAAATCGAGGAGCAAGTTGCCTGGATTGCGATTGCGAGCGCGTTTTGGTGGGAACGATGTCGAGGAGGTGGAGGGAGTTGGGATGTCATTCTCTTTGGACGGTAAAGGCGTGCGCGGGGACGGCAGCAATTCTCGAGAAGACGGAATCATCTTTGGCGATGGTTCGATCGAGTTAGGACTCTGGGGATGCTTTGTAGGCGCTTCATCTAGGAGAAGGGACAGTTTTCGTGATGTAGGTGGAGAGACTTGAGCAGCAGCGTCTGAGAGGGACTCTTGATTCACTGCATCCCACTCGGAAAGATCGTCTGAAAAAGGCGTTGTGATGAGCGATGGCGTGCGCTTCCTTGCCTTGGGGTTGTTGGACGCCACATGCTGTAGTTGGATTTTATGCTGTGACGACGGCGGTGACCTGCAGTTCGTGGCGGTTGTCCCTATGTCAGACGCGGCCAGAGAAGGAGACTCGTGCTTTCGCTTCATCTCCATGGGGCTTGCTATGTCGGCGGCCACGGCGGGCGAAGTGTGGGCAGGTGCGCAAGGATTCGCCTCTCCGACCGCAAACTTTGTATTTTTGGCCTCGTAACCGTCGCGTGTCAATTGCAGGTGTGATATTGAATTTGACAGGTCACGAGGTTGTGGTTTGGCGCGATATTCATTTCTACGGGAAACGTGATACGGTAAAATCTTCCGGATAAAGTCGTCGAATCATTTTGAATTTTGCGCGCGGGAGAACGGATTCCGTCAACGCCGCGTCCATGGACCAGTTCTTGCTGCCAAATGGAAGGCCTGGTGCAGACGATCAGATTGCGCGAGCAAACCGATACATCTTTGGCAACTCGTCCTTCCGCACGAATCAGCGCAACGCCATCCTGACAACGCTGAATCGAGAGGACGTTTTTGTACTCATGCCAACAGGTGGTGGCAAGAGTCTGTGCTACCAGGTACTCTGTGGATGTGAGTCTTCATGCCCTGCTAATGTTTGCGCGCAGCTTCCTGCGGTATTGTCCGAAGGTGTCACAATTGTCGTGTCCCCACTGCTGTCGCTCATCCAAGATCAAGTGACGTCGTTGGTGCGCAATAAACCCGTAGGCATTCCAGCAGCATATCTCTCAAGTCAAACAGCGGTCAAACTACTCAAAGCAGTCCTGAGAGATCTCCATCGACCTGTACCTACGATCAAGCTGCTATATGTTACTCCCGAGAAGCTCGCATCGTCGAGCAGCCTCATTTCACTCCTGGAAGACCTAAACAGACGAGTATTGGCACACATCCCGTCGTTTGGGGGCCAACTAGGAGTGTAGGGAATGCTCGCTCGGTTTGTTGTTGATGAAGCACACTGTGTCACCCAGTGGGGGCATGATTTTCGACCAGACTACAACAAACTTGGAAGATTAAAGGAGCTGTTTCCACAAGTCCCGGTCATGGCACTAACGGCCACCGCACCACAAAAAGTAATTGACAGCGTCAAGAAGATTCTCAAGATTCCACGTGCGACTGTGTTCACCATGAGCTTCAACAGGACCAACTTGAGGTACGAATAGCAACGCCGCACACTCCTTCACCGTGTCACAAGTAGCTTCGACGTGATTGACAAGGAAAATGAAGGTGTGCCAGACGATATGTCACGGTGACGTAATGCTTACGTATGTGTGCGTTAGAACCAAAAGCGCTGGCCCAATTGCACTCGTATATCGCCTCGAAATATGCTAACAATGTGGTCGGTATCGTCTACTGCATGACAAAACAGCAGTCCGAAGATGTCGCCAACTACCTCTTTGACCGCGGCATTCAAGCTGACTTCTACCACGCTGGACAATCGTCGACGGATCGCGAGATGGTGCAAGAAGCGTGGCAGGACGGTCAAGTCAAAGTCGTGTGTGCGACGATTGCGTAAGAGTTCTCCGTTGCCCGTGCAATGTGCACTAACGGTGTTGGCAGCTATGGCATGGGCATCGACAAGGCCGACGTGCGCTACGTCATTCATTATTCCGTGGCAAAATCAATTGAAGGGTACTACCAAGAAGCAGGTCGCGCTGGGCGTGATGGCCAGTCGTCACAATGCACCATTTTCTACAATAGGTACAAGGACAGTGACTCATTGTGGTCTCTACTGACGCAAGCTAATTCAGACGGGATGTGTCCAAGATCCGTGGCATCATCAACATGCCAAAGAAAGGTAACACGATGAAGACGCGCGGTGTGCACATGGAAAAACTCGAGCGCATGATGGAGTACTGCGAAGAACGTGCGAGCTGCCGTCGACAATACTTGGTGTCGTACTTTGGGCAATCGTTCAATCGGAAGGACTGCAACAAAACTTGCGACAACTGCCGACGAGTGATTGCGCATTAACAGACGAAAACACCACGTCTACACAAAGTACTGCTCGATCCACGAAAGCAGCGTCTCCGTCGGGATGCGCAGGTGGTCCCCAGCAGTCTCTTTGAGCGTGATTTTGCCTGCTTCATTCAGGGTTTTCAATCCAAACGAGTCATCCTGGTACCACTTGGTCTCATTCATGAGCAAGACCTTGTCGAAAGCGCCGTCCTCGTACGCTCCGAACCACTCTGATTCCTACACTCGTATATTCGGTCAAGACATTGTCGGACATCATCTTACCCTGGGGTACACCATCGAGTCCTGCGCCGCGCGAACAAGAACTAATTGCTCGAGGTTCGCGAAGTTGGCTTTGAACGTTGCATTCTTTGAACCGTGCTCATTGTTTATGTCGGGCAAAAATCGTGCTACCATGCACACGCCCATGACAACGAACGCTGGTGCGGCCACGGCGACCTACCGTGCACTTTGTATTCGGAAATACGAGTGGGGTCTCGGAAGTAGTTGGCTTGGGCAACATTATCTACGCAGGCACCTGTTTGACTTTGCCATGATAAGCGCAGGTACCTTGAACGGAATCGGCGTATGCAGCGGCTGAGATCAACTAACGAGACATATAGGTGGAGGGCGCAGGACATGGAGCTCGTACGTCACTAATCTTCTTGCAGATGAAGTTGATAGGGCGGCAGTGAGGTAGCCCCGCTACACCGGCGAGGGGGCCATGAATCGAAACGAAACTCTTGACAGGAGGGCTGTTGTAGCGTTCGATATAGCCACGGACCACAAGATTTCCCTGGGAAAATCCGAGGGCATTGAACCCATGTCGAAGGTGCTCGTCCTGGAAGAAGCGGAAAGTAAACGCTTGCGTGGCCATCGGCTACGCACCGCAGCGACAACGCGAGCAAAGTAGTCGACTTGTTTGTCCAGGTTCATAAAGAACCCGTTGGATGTGTCTTCGGCCTGTGACGCGCCGATTTGGACATTCGTCGCGTATCCACCAAGGCGTGTCGCTACTGCCTAGCGAGGCGATTCGGGTTCAGCTCAACACTGGCATTTGCACATTGCTACAAACGACGGCGGCCGACACATCCTCACGCAAATGCACATCAAGCCGTACCTTGCGGAGCCGCTGCATCCCAGGATTTTGTGCAGCGTCTCCCATGCCGTGCATGATGACGACGGGCAACGTGTTCCTGTCGACATGTCCCTCGACGCCACCAAGTTCACCGACATGATAATCCCCGTCCACGTCGACGATGAGTCGGTCATCCGCAAGAAAAGATTCAGGCTGCCACACTGCTCGGCCATGAAGGTTGGCCGCAGCAGACGTCCACCACAAGCACCCTCCGACGATTCCCACGCGCATCGTGCGACGACGATCCGACAAGATTGGGTCGAGAATATCCTTTCACTTTTTGTAAAACGGTATGTCCTTTCATAATTTATATTTTGCCATCAACGGGCGTTCGGTGCATGGACGGCGGTCGGAAGTGCGTGCGCACCCACGTCGCGAGCAGCTCGTCGGTGAACTGGAGATGGTTGTCAGGAGTCTCGTACAAAGTCACACGGCCAGTCGTGTGCAGTGTCTTCAACCCGAACGTGTCGCTTTGGTACCATGATGTCTCGTTCATCGGCAAGATCGTGTCCCACCCACCGTCCTCGTACGCGCCAAACCACGATGACATGGTCGGCGCAATCTGAAGTGTGTCTCATGGTCAACCATCCACAGCATGAAAGAGGCAAATGCAGGCACACCTGTGTATCTCGGAGCGCGCGCACCATGATCAACTGCCGCAGCGATGCAAAGTTGGCCTTGTACGTCGCGTTCTGCACCGAGAGTTCATTGTTTAGGTCGGGTAAGTACTTGACTACACCAGGTCCGCATGTCATGCATCGATTCACACGCGTGGTGTACCCACCGCGCTCACGGTATTCTGGAATGCGAGTCGGGTCCCTGTAAAAGTTTGACTGGGCCAGTTGGTCTACAAACATCAACCTGGGTTTGCGTTGACGTGCAGTAGAGAAGCATGGGTCCTCACGCTGCAGCTCGGAGGAGTAGGCAAACGCTCCAAAGAACTTGTTGAGTTGACGGCAGAAGAATGTTGTCGGGTTGCATATCGGCAGCGACCCGATCCCGGCGAGCGGCGAATGACACGCCAAAAACCCGATCACGGGCGGATTGTTGTATCGCTCAATGTAGCCGCGGACGATGAGACCGCCCTGGGAGAACCCAATGGCGTGGAAGCCGTGCCGCAGGTTCGGATCACGGCGAACAATTGCAGCAAACCTACACGATGGCGCTTGGAACGGTAGAATAGAGGTGGACCTACCGAGACACTTGTTCGTCCATGGTCAAGTGGACGCTGTTGTACTCATCCTCACGCACGTTGCGACCAATTTGGACCGACGTAACGTACGCCCCATCGAGTGTGTCGGACACAACAAGGCGCATGCGCTCCATGTGACCGGTGTGGCCGGCGTCGTTCATGCCGTGCATCATGACAACGGGATAGAACTCAACGGCGGCACCACGGACGTACGCCGTAGGCACATCAACAATGTACTCATGCGGAAACGGCACTGGGAGAGGAGGTTGCTCCCATACCCAGTTGTTTGAGACTGCCATGACGAGGACTCGAATGACAACGCCCTGAAGCATCGCAAGGGATTCTGCCGCCGTGATGCGCGTCGAGCACGTCACCAGCCCAAGCAGACGGGAATCCCTTGACAATTAATGAAACGACTTATCAAATTCGAAAGGGACCGATTCTCATTGGCTGCTTACAACGTGCCCCCCCAAGATCGAGGGATGGTTCAAGGCGGACGTCGACGGCACAATTTGCTTCAGCTGTGGGGAAGGCACTCAATTTAGGAGCGACGCGATTCCAGAAGCGGAGCAAAACGAATACGTGTCGCGCGATACATGCCAACGACAGGCCGACAGTGACAGGGAAGTAGTGGTGCGTATTGCATGCCGTGGAGGCGGCCAGGTTGAAGTCTCCGTGATTATGAACTGGTGGTGGATTGTTGATTCGGTTCACCCCCTCGTGGTTGGAATCTATGGTGAGCGATGCTGCCTATTTTTACGATCGCTGCATCGTGGAAACGACTGTTTCCGCACATGTCGGCACGACGGCCTCGTTTTCGAGTTCGTTTGCCCTGTCGTCACTCGGAGCCATGTGCAGCCAAGTACGTACGGGCGTAGTGTCCATCCGTCCATTGGGATGTGTCCTGCATTTGTCGTAAGCGCGATGACCCGCGGTTGTTGTGCTGGCAAATGATCAACCAATCAAAACGTGGTAAAATGATTACAAATTTTGTCTGATTGGTTCAAAGTTGGATATTTATCCAATCAAACTTCTTGACATCGAAACGGCACTCAGTCGGTGTGCTTGAGCACGTCGCAGGTAGGGTTTCGCCGTCGAACGGGTTCGACACCGACTGAAATAGGTCGGGAAAGCTAATGGAGTGCTTTGCAGCCGGCGTTACGCCTTCAGATGCCTTCGATTCCCAGAATAGCCCGCTGCTCCCTCGCGCATCACTGTCCAAGATGCCGGGGGAGCGTGGATTGGAGGCGGCGCCGCAGTTGCCACAGAGCCACATCCAAACGCTGCTATGGAAGAATTTCCTGCTCAAGAAGAAGCACCCGATCAAGTGGGCGCTCGAGATGATCGTGCCAGTCCTGTTCATCATCTTGCTTGGTGGGTTGAAGATGCTCACGGATGACGTCAAGGTCCCACCGGGATGGAGCGACACGCAGACGCTTCCGACCGACAACAACACGGGCACGTCGCACAGCTTGTTTGAGACCATCCCGGTCAACATTTCGGGCACGAAACTCAACTTTTCTACGTACTTTGCCACGGAAACGACCATGTCGGGGTACTTGGTCAACATGGCGCTCACGGCGTTCCAAAACGGCAAGCTCATGAGCGAGTTGAACCAAGCCGATTCGTTTCAGTGCGCGCGCGTCGTCCTCGAAGGCAAGGTGTCGACGGACCCGGCGTCGCCAACAACAGTACCCAAGGAATGCCGCGGAAAGGTCGTTCCGTACAAGCTCGCGATCGTGCCGGACACCCCATTCACGCGCGACTACTTTGCGAAAACGATGGGTCTGTGGTTCCCGCGGATCGAGCTCACGCCTCGATCGTTCTTGACCACGCCGACGATTCCGTCGTTTGTCGACTCGACCATGTTCTTTGCAGACGAGGGTGCCCTCGAAGCATACGTCCAAAGCAGCGGGTACGGCAAAGACCTGGACCATCCTGTCGTCCATGCCGCCATCGTCTTCCACAAGTTCCCAGCCAAGGATCAATTGGGCACAGTCCAGTCCATCGAGTACTCGCTGCGCCTCAACTCGACCCTTGGCCGCGGCGGCATTCCCGGCGACGTTCCTCGCACGGACGTCAAAGGAACAAACCTGCTCCAGCGCAGCATCGACATCACCATGTATCAAAAGTACACCACGACGGGGTTCCTCACGCTCCAGACGCTTGTTACGCGATTTGCAGCGTGCGTCCCCGACTGGGATGGGTCCACCACGACCGGCAACTGCACGCAGACACAGGCAACAGCGGCGTCGACGTCGTCGCTGGACTCGCGCCTGTTGAAACAAGTGCAGGACGACTACGTGCTGCAGATCGTCGTGGCATTTTTCAACAAATTGCCGGGCGTTCCCCGCATCAACTTGGCGAATTTACCGGCGGCGGCCAAGGAGGCGCTGGTCGCGCCGCTGCGTCAGGCGCCGCAGTCGTACCATGGCCAAAGCGTGTTTCCGTTTCCGATCGCCGGGTACGTGTCGTCGCCGTTTTACGCGCAAGTCGAGTCGTTTTTCTCGATCGTGTTTATCATTTCGTACCTGTTTTCGATCTCGTCGGTGCTCGTGGCGCTGATCACGGAGAAGGAAAACAAGAGCCGCGAACTCTTGAAGATCCTCGGCGTTCTCGACAACTCGATCATTTGGTCGTGGTACATCACGTACGGCGCGATCTTTGTCGTGTCGGCGGTGCTCCAGATGATGGCGAGTCGCTCCAAGTTGTTCCCAAACTGCTCGCCGCTCCTGGTCTTTTTGTTCTTTTTGCTCTTTGGGTGGAGCGTCCTCGCGTACGGGTTCCTCGTCAGCTCGATATTCTCCAAGTCCCGCCTCGGCACGTACATGGGGATCGTCGTCTTCTTTGTCATGTACTTGATCACGTCGGGCTTTACCGACACGTCGGCGGAACGGTCCAAGAACGTTGCGTGCATCTTTGCTCCCGTCGCCATGTCGTTTGGGGTCCAAACAATGGCCAAGGCAGAAGCTGGGTCGCTCGGGATCACGTTCGCCAACGTGCACGAGCCGTACGCGAACTTTCGGTTTTCGACCGCGCTGGCGTTCATGGCGTTTGACATTGTGTTGTACACGGTGCTCGGGCTGTACCTGGAGCGCGTCGTGCCAAAGGACTACGGCGTGCCGGAGCCTTGGTACTTCCCCGTGAGCATGCAGTATTGGCGCAAGGTGCTGAGAACAGGCGCGGTCCGAGTCCAGGACAAGGAGCACGTCCGAGACGACGTCGGCGCCCTCGAAGGCCATGCCAACGACACGATCGAGGTCGTGGGGCCCGACCTGCGCCAGCAAGAGGTCACGGGCGACGCGCTTCAAATCAAAAATTTGCGCAAAGAATTTGCCGTGCCAGGCGGGATCAAAGTGTCGGTGAAGGGCATGAACTTGACCATGTACAAGAATCAAATCACGTGTTTGCTCGGCCACAACGGCGCCGGCAAGACGACGCTGATTTCCATGTTGACTGGAATGCTTCCCGCGACGACCGGCGATGCCACGATCCACGGGCTCTCGTTGAAACACAACTTGGCCGAAATCCGGCATTCTCTCGGCATGTGCCCGCAACACGACGTGCTGTACGCGGAGCTCAGCGTATGGGAGCACTTGGTGTTCTTTGGCCGTATCAAGGGGTTCCGGGGGGCAGCGCTCGCGACCGAAGTCGACGCAAAGATCGCCGAGGTCGGTCTCACTGAAAAGCGTCATGTCAAGTCGTGCGAGTTGTCGGGCGGGATGAAGCGCAAGTTGAGTTTGGCGATTGCGCTGCTCGGCGACAGCAAGATTGTGTTTCTGGACGAGCCGACGTCCGGGATGGACCCGTACAGTCGTCGTAGCAGTTGGGAAATCATCTTGAACAACCGGTACAACCGCATTGTGGTGCTGACGACGCACTTCATGGACGAAGCCGACATTTTGGGCGACCGCATTGCAATCATGGCGGAGGGGGAGCTCCGGTGCTGCGGGTCGTCCCTCTTCTTGAAGAACCGGTACGGCGCCGGGTACAACTTTTCGCTGGTCAAAACCGACAACTGCGACACGGATGCGTTGATGGCGTTTGTGCGTTCGCATGTCGCGGCCGCCAAAGTCCTGAGCAACGTTGGCACGGAGATCGCGTTTCAGCTGCCGCTCGATGGCTCGCCCTTGTTTGCGCCCATGTTTGTCGAATTGGATGCCAACTTGGCACGGTTTGGCGTGTTGTCGTACGGCATTTCCGTGACGACGCTCGAGGAAGTGTTCATCAAGGTGGCCGAAGTCGGCGACGAGCACCACCAGCACACGCTGCAGACGACCAAACCGGCCAAGAAGCCCTCGACCGGCTACAAGATTGATGCCAACGCGCCGCGCGTGTCCCGCCTGGCCATGTTCTTTATCCACTTTGTCGCGCTCTTCAAGAAGCGCCTGCGCACGGCTCGACGCGACCGCAAGATTGTCCTGTTTGGAGCGCTTCTCCCCATTGCGTTCATTGTGCTTGGGATCTCGATCCTTAAATTTAGCGCACTCACAAAGAACGACGCGCCGCTCCGCCTCGGTCTTGGCAACTACACGCTGAATCAACAGACGCCGGTTCCTGTTTATTGCACGGCCGACGACAACGCGTGGTGTACCGAGCTCTCGGCAGCGTTCACGTCTGGCCAAGTGTCGCTGCTTCCGCGGGACGAATACTCGTCACCGACGCCGACGGTGTTCCAGGTTACGTACAACAACCCTCCCATCGACCCGAGTGGCACGACTGGGATCTGCTTGAAAACAGGAGAGCAATTGTGGGCTCGAGGGTTCGAGCAGTCGACGGTAGGACAGTTTGGCGCGTACGTCGTGCACGGCTCGCGCGCGACGGGCGAAGTCGGCTACGCGATTGCAGTCAACACGTCGTCGCCGCATGCTGCCGCCAACTACAAGGCGGTCATGGACCAAGCGGTGTATCAAATGATAACCAAGACACCGTCGGCAACGCTGGTCGTGCACACGCATCCCTTGCCACTCACGGCCATGACCAAGACGCTGTTTACGACGTTCATTTCGTTTGCAACGTCGATATGCGTCGTCCTCGCGTTTTGTTTTTTCTCCGCCTCGATTGTGCCGTACCTCGTGAGCGAAAAGCACCCGACGCACAACTCCAAGCACCAGCAGCTCGTGTCCGGCGTGAGTTTGCCGGCTTTCTGGCTCGCCAACTTTGCATGGGACATGCTCGTGTTCTCAGTTCCGTGCGTGTTTGCTCTTATCACGATTTACCTGTTTGACATCACGCCGTTCACGGGCAACGCGTGCCCGACGTGTGCCGGCACACCGTTTGCCGGGATCGTCGCTCTCCTCGTGCTGCTTGGATTTGCCCTCATCTCGCTCTGTTACTGCCTGAGCTACCTCTTCACAGACGCGTCGGGGTCGCAAACCATGATCATTATGATCAACATGATCTTGGGCGTTGTCCTCATGACCGTCTCGATCGTGCTCGACATTGTCCAGAGCACGCAAGAGCTCAACAAGTCGCTCAAGTTTATTTGGCGCCTCTCGCCGCTGTTTAACGTCGGCAACGGACTCAATTCGCTCGCGATCTTTACGATTCGCGCCACATTCTCCCGCGACGGATACGTTCCAGGCTTGACCGCATTCGACACCAAAGTCGTCGGGTGGGAAGTGACGTACTTGGCGGTCGAAGCTGTCGTGTTTCCGCTGCTGGCGATTGGCATCGACTACGCCCTGAGCTTCCCAAGCATCAAGGCGGCCGTGATGAAAGATCCGACGGTCGTGGATGCGCCGTACGACGTGGACGAAGACGTTGTCGCGGAAGAATCGCGGATTGCGAGCGGCGCCGCCGACAAGGACGCTGTTGTTATGAAAAACCTACGCAAGGTGTACAAGGGAGGAAAGGTCGGGATCGTCCAAATGTCGCTGGCGCTGCCGAAAGGCGAATGCTTTGGGTACTTGGGCATCAACGGCGCTGGGAAGACGTCCACGATGAAGATCCTGACAGGCGACGTGTTGCCGTCCAAAGGCCAAGCGCTTCTTGGGGGGTTCGACATCCTGACACATCAGCTGGAAGTGAGGCGATTGATTGGGTATTGCCCCCAGTTCGACGCACTCATTGACCTACTCACCGTTCGCGAGCACTTGGAACTCTTTGCGTCCATCAAAGGCGTGCCAGCCTCACACATCCACGACACCGTGAAAGACAAGATGGACCAAATGAACTTGAACGACTTTGAGCACAAGCTAGCGGGGACGTTGAGCGGTGGGAACAAGCGCAAGCTGTCGGTTGCAATTGCCATGATCGGGTCGCCTCCGATCATCTTCTTGGACGAGCCGTCGACAGGGATGGACCCGGTGTCCCGCCGATTCATGTGGGATGTCATTGCGGACATTTCGACCCGCAGCAAAGAATCCACGATTCTCCTCACAACGCACAGCATGGAAGAATGCGAAGCGCTGTGCACTCGCGTCGGAATCATGGTCGGTGGCCGTCTTCGCTGCGTGGGAAGCATCCAGCATTTGAAACACCGCTTCGGCGATGGATTGATGCTGCATGTCAAGCTCGCGCCCGTCAAGGCGGACGACGTGGCCGCCATGGTCAGTACCCAAATGAACGGGGTCCATCAAGTCACGAGGGAGACGCTTGGTGTAACGTGCACTCGTTTGGGCAAGAGCGACCGTGCGGCTTGCATCGACGGGAATCATCCGACGGGGTACGTGCTAGCCGATTCCCTTGATCGGCACCACCAAGCGATACCGATCAAAGACTTCTGCACGTGGTGGCTGAGTGAGGACCGGTTCGATGCGTTTTCGTCGCACGTGAAGTCGTCGTTCGGGACGGTTCATGGCGGGAAAGCTCAGCTGCTCGAGCGACAAAACGACCAAAGCCGGTTCAAGCTCGTCGGCCATACCTTAAAGCTGAGCTCGGTCTTTTCATTGATCGAGGGGTGCCGCGGCGAGCTCCACGTGGAGGAGTACACAGTCGCGCAAACGACGCTGGAGCAGATCTTTAACAACTTTGCGTGCCAGCAAACGCAGGAAAAGGGCGTTGCCCGCGGCATGATGGTCAAGGAAGCCCCGTCGTCCGTGTCAAACCACGACCATTACGTTGTGGCGCCGCAGTAGCGCTCGCCCCCATGGAATGTAATAAACTATCGTGAGACGACCAATGCAACGGGTCCTGTTTTCGCAACTCGGGTCTGCACTTGCGGATATTCACCTGGAAAGTCTTGGGATTCAAACAACGTGCATCGGATGTGAACAGGAGAAGTAACGAGGGAGCCTCATATGGGGCAGTGTCCGCACGGGAGGCGAACACGCATGCAGCCACGAGTTCCTCGAGTACACGTAGCCTGTAAGGTGCTGGCTGTACCAGTATGGAAATGTGAGTGCGCGTGAAAACTCGCAACTCGTTCAACATCTCGCTACTGTGCCACGTGGAAATGGAGATGATGAGCACGTTCGGAGTAGGAACGGTCATCCACCTACACTTCTCGCCAAGTGGTTTCATGTGCGTGGTCCCAATACGTCGTGCGAGGACTCTTGAGCTGTTCGTTGCCAGGCAATGAAACGATGGCAGGGCCAGCATACTTCCTCTAGTCCAAGCCTTTCAAAATACTTGAAGTCATGCCGGCGTCCACATTCGTGAGACAACTTTGCTTTTCGCGCTCGAATTCTGCATAACGTCCGGGTCACCTTTGATGGGGAAGCAGGGGAGATAGTCCAACGCAGCCAGGCCATCCCTCCATCGCATTGTGCTTTGGTTCATTGTGGAATATCCCAGGCCAGTGTCATGTTGTGCCTCTTGTTTACCGCGACTCTCTTTATTGCGACAATGATGCCTGCGACTGCAGAGCACGTGCAAGCGGCGATTCGAAGCGGAGCCGTGCCTGCCCATGGCGTCAACCTCGGGAGCTGGCTAGTCATGGAGTCGTGGATGTCAAAGCAGTCGCCAGTGTGGGCTGGTGTCCCGGATGCGATCGCTGTGGGTGGTGAGCACCAAACCATGGCGTTCTTGGGCCGCGAGAAGGCAGATCCGCGCTTCAAGTTGCACCGCGACACGTTCATCACCGCCGCGGACATTGCTGAAATTGGGGCTTCGGGAATGAACATGGTGCGCGTCCCTGTCGGATGGTGGATTATGCCCGACTCGACCGTACGATAATCCCCCCTGGTCTTGGGCAAACCACTCTTGACTTCCCCGTTGTAGAACGACGCCTGGAAGCATTACTCGCCAGGTGGCCTCGCGTACTTGGACATGCTAATCAAGGACTGGGCAGTTCGATCTAATGTAGCGGTGCTTGTGGATATTCACGCCGCACCAGGGTCTCAAAATGGCAGGGACCACAGCTCTGCGCCAACTTCAAATGTTGCCAACTGGTCCCGCGACGAAGGCAACATTGCGCGCACGTTAAAGGTTGGTTGCGTTTTCGTTGGGAAGCGGACGGACGCAATGGTGGGTGGTGGTAGGTGGCTGAGTTCCTCGCCGCACGATACAGCCAAGACGAAGCGTTCTTGGGACTGAGTCTACTGAACGAACCAGAAGGCAATCCTGCCACCAACTCTGGCGTCGACACTGCAAAGTTGCAAGCGTACTACACGACGGCAGTCTCGCGCATCCGGCAAACGGGAAACGACTGCGTCCTGGTGGTCGCTCCGTTGTTGACGGAACAGTCGCCGACTGCCGCGGGGTGGCCGACGTTTTTGCGCCAAAAGAACATTTGGCACGACTGGCACAAGTACCTCAAGTGGGGTCACGAAGGTAGCGTGGACATTTCTTGGAACGGCGCGGTGACGGAATGGAGTAGGCCAGCCCCTGTCGGAATTGATCGCTCGAGGCACCGACACCATAGCCCGCGATATTTCACAGTGGACGGGCAACCCACTCTTCATTGGCGAGTGGAGTTTGGGCCACCCCGACTCGGCGAAAGCTGAATTTCAAGACCAAAATCAAGGCAAGCTGTACGCCTCGACGTACCTAGCCGCCGTGTCCAAGGCCAAGGGCGGATGGGCTTTCTGGAGCTGGCGTGCAGACACCGGGCTGCCATTTGGTGAAGGCTGGAGCATGCGCGAACTGCTTCGTGGAGGGATTTTGAAGCTTAAGTAGAACACGCCGCCCCGCTGGTTGCGTACGTATTCTGGGGCACGTTGTAAAAGAGACTAAACCCTCAACCTATGCACATTCTCACGCCTTGGTATTGATCTCTTGAATGCTTC